GGGAAAATCTCCCTGATCCCGCGTCTAAATTCCGACACCAGGAGGCAAGTCCTCTCCTCGAGATGCCCGCAGTTCGTCATCCTGGGTAACTTGCAAAGTCGTTGCGGTTCACAGAAGCTGCTAGCCCGTGATATTTCAAGATGCGCAGTTTCACGCAGTGAGACTTGCTCTCGCACATGATTGTGCGACCTAAACTGCTTTAGCCCAAGCGCTTGCCCCTCGGGACCCTCCGTGCTCGGGACCCTCCGTGCTCGGGACACGGGACGCCGTTAAAACCTAACCAGAACTGTGGAGCCAGCCAGGGCGCCACCCCGCAACTCGCCCGGAACCTTGGAACTTCCTGGTCCATTCCGTTCCCAACGCCTACTCACAAGGCCCAACGAGGGCACTGGCCGTGAGGCTGTCAGGGCTGTTTACATTCCAGGTCCGGAAGCGGATGAACGCTGCTTCTGGCAAGAGCTGATATCTGAGGGCTTTTCCATTACACCCTGGGATTACACCCTTGGGACATGACCCAGAATGGGCTCAAACAACACGGTTTTATCCGGAAATGTGCCTAAATGGGGGTCAATACCCAGTGGGTGTATTTTTCAGGGTGTAATACAAAAACCTTTAGATGATACAGTACTTGTCCCCAGAACCTCTATGAACATTTCCATGAGGCACCTGCCGAACCACGAGGGAAATTTCTGTAGCCTGCCTGGCACCACCTGTGGAACCTGCCCGGATGACCAAAAAAGAGGATCATCCCCATAGTAATCAACCCCCAAACCCTATGAATAAACTGGGGCTGGTTCATACGGGGTCATTCGGGCCCAAATTGGTGCCTCTTGGCCAAGTCTCCAGGGCCTTGTTCTGCGTCTGCCACGCAACGAAGCCGCAGTTCAGGAGGATCCTCAAAACGCGTGCCGTTTCGGGAGCTCCAGTTGCCATTGGTGCAAATAAGGAGACCAACACGCTTCCTCTTCATACGTGCAGCGCAAAAAAGAAGAAGAAAAAGAAACGCATGCTGAGGGGCAGGAGGGCACTCACGGTCTCATAGTGCATGGAGTTGACGATTCGCATTTGCCAACTCTGAAGCTCTTGCACCCTGGCAGAATTCAGAAATCCGTCCTCCCCGATTGGGTGCCCCCCTCCAGAGGAGTGGTTACCTGTGTTCTTAGCGCTCAAGTCAAGGACGCCATGTCTGAGCGAGATTCCAGTTGCTCGGCGAGAGCACCATTCCGAAAATGAAGCTGAAACAGAGAAAAGCCGCAAGTGGGAAAAAAATTCCCCCGGGTGAGATTCATCATGAAGGCCGCGACTAAACTTTTGAGTTTATTGCGGGGCATCTTGTGCATGAGGCAATCAGGAAGCTGTTGCTTTCGTTTCAGCGGCTGATTTGGGACACTCGTGGCCTGCCTCTTGCGGTTCTCCTTCGCAATGTAATTGGAACGCCTGGCACAAAAACAGCGCGGCCAAGCAATCCAGAACTCACAGAAAGCAACCGACGGAGTCTCCTGTTGGGCCCTTGCAGGCTTTGCCTTTGGCGGTTCTCCCTGGCCTCAAGTTGGAGTTGCTGCGCTGAACGCGCGGCTGTGAGTTGTCGTCGGCGCTCTCCGACACGATGCCTGCGGCTGAAACTTGCCAAAATCGCGGGCTTCCAAGTTTCGTGGGCTGACACAGACATCAACCATCCCTCTAACTGAGCCTTGACCAACCCTTACCAGCCCAAGACCCTAAACCAACTCTCAGTATCAACCAGCCTTGAATCATCCCCAAACTGACCCTACACCAAGCATCAACCAACCCCAAAGCAAGTCTTGAGCAATCCGACCCCAAAGCAACACTGACAAAAGCAAACCAGCCCTGAACAGATCCAAATCCGACCCTCAACGAGGTCTGCCAAATCTTTCGTCAAAATGTGTCACGCACACGTGCGCCGTCGCCTGGCAGATTCTCGGCAGAGAAGGCGATGGCTTTCTTAACGACGTCGTAGAACTGATGACTGGGGGTACTGGGGCTCGCGCCCTCCTCAGCCTGGGCTGCTTCCTTGGCGAGCCATACATTTCTCAATGTGGCTGTGGGTCAAAACCAATGGGATCCCATCTTGGGGTGCACCGCCCATTTTGTCTATTTCAGTGGGAATTGGGATGTTCACTGGGGGTACGGGATTTTGACCCATGAAAGCACAACGCGTGGCCCAAGTCCCAGCTTCGACACCCCAAAATGCAGGTTGCCCAAGCAAGCCGGGCCAAGCACTTCACCACAAGGCCAAACAAAGCTCTCTTCACAGTTTCCCGCAGTTGCTTCCAGCCATGCGCCAAAACCCATCCAATTCCACACATCCGGCCAGCCCAAGCCAAGCGGCGCTACGCGGGCTGGGCGCTGCAAAGTGGACTCTGCTTGGGCCGCCTGGGTGCCATCAACTCCATGACACCCTTACCCCTCGCCAAGCTATTCAATAAAGAAGCCTTCAAACAACAAAGTGTCGCATGGGATCCTGTTCAAGGTTGCTGTTTTTTTCTGGCGGGTTCGTGTGTCAGTCACATGGCTGGCCCAGGTTACTGGGACCTTTCAAAGGTGCCCTTCACTCATGCATTCTTGGCTTCCGGCCTCATGCTGATAACAAATTACTTTGCACAGCTTGTTGCGCCCAGCTTCATTGGAGTTTCTGGGCCCTGCTCAAAGCCGCCAAGCCCATCAATTGCCACCTGCCCGTTGCACCAACACACATTTAGCCTACAAGTCATACTTTACAACTGCATTGAAGGTGGCACCCCCCAGCCTAACATGACACTAGCCCCACTTCTCCAGCTGTTTTGGGTAGTTGGAAGCCGGGTGCTGCCCCTCTGCTCCCAAATTGCTCCAGCTCCGTGCCCGCCTGGCGATTGCGCCTCCTCCGCCTGCGCGCCTGGGGCGACCCCACGGGCTCAACGTCCAAGCTGCATGAGTCATGAGCGCATCTGCCAAGAGCACAAGCGAACCGCTGCCAAAGGCTTTTGAGCGAAACACTTTCATCAGGGGCCAAGCCTTGGTGGATTCAACCCATTGGATGCAACCACCCATGATAATCGACGACGGCCTTTGGCATTGCAATTGGAAGGCAGCCTGTGTTGTACCGACACTCTGGCCAGCAGCGGGCGTGCCTTCGTCCGGCTTTTGGCCTTCCGCAGGTGGCTTGAGCGGCTGGGATTCCTGGGCGGCCCCGTGAGGTCGGAAAGTCACGCTTGTCATGTCACAACACATCAGGCTTCTGGAAAGTCGACAGGGCAAATCTGCAACCCAAACGTTCTTCTGGCAGCTTGCTGTCCGTGCTTTCCATTCCATCCTCATAAGTCAGCATCGGAAAGACCCACACCCGTCACAAGAATTGCCACATACCATCACCGCTGCCAAGGCGCTCTGCCAGACAACTCGCCGTCCAGCGGGGAAGGTTTCAGCCCTGGCCACTTTGACAAATTTTGTCTGCAGTCACGGCAGTCAACAACATGTCCCCACAACTCTTCCCAGACCATGCCAACCCCAATGAACGCACACACACACACACAAACACAAACACAAACACAAACACAAACAAACAAACAAAGCAAGCAAGCAAGCAAGCAAGCAAGCAAACAAACAAACAAACAAACAAACAAACAAACACACACACACACAAGCAAACAAGCAAGCAAGCAAGCAAGCAAGCAAGCAAGCAAACAAACAAACAAACAAGCAAGCAAGCAAGCAAACAAACATACAAACAAACAAACAAACAAACAAATAGACACACAAACAAACAAACAAACAAACAAATAAACAAATAAACTAACAAACAAACAAACAAACAAACAAACAAACAAACAAACAAACAAGCAAGCAAGCAAACAAACAAACAAACAAACAAACAAAGCAAGCAAGCAAGCAAGCAAGCAAGCAAGCAAACGAACACAGCACACACGGCACAAAAACAAACCAACAAACACAAACAAAACACAAACACAAGCACAAACACAAACACAAACACACACACACACACACACACAAACACAAAACCGCTGAACCTTGTGCAGAGGGCAAGTGCCAGGACAACTTGAACAAAGAAGGCGATGGCTGGCAAGGCTGCCAACTCGATGTAAAAATATGCTTACTTTGCAAGAGAGCCTACCGTTCCCAAAAAGGTTGGCCTGTTCTTGGGCCCCATCCAAAACCCAGGCATCTGCCAAACGTGGCAGCTGCGGCATGCGCTGAGCAGCACATCGGAGCACCGAGCGAGAAAGCGAGTGTGTTCCTTCGATTTGTCCCGTGTTTCCGAACACGCGGCCCGGGCCCGGAAGAAGCGGAACATACTGTGATTGCCTTAGCCCTTTAAAACGAAGAAGTCGGTTTTCACGGTACCTGCTGCTTGGAGCCCGCGGCATGTAATTTGCATGCCCAAATCTCAGTCACGGAAAATCATCCCGGCGCCTTTATTCTGCTGGGCATCCTGAGCCTGCCAAGTGGCGAGGTTCACTCTCCAGGCAATGCGCCCACCGAAAACACAGAATCAGAGCCAAGACCCCTGAAACGTTGGCTAAGCAGCAGCATTGTATTGGCAGAGGCACCAAGAATTCATGAGCATTTTGCCCCCGCCTGCAATCGCAGCTCCGGGAACCGGGCCTTCATGCTGCCTTAGGCAAATCTGGATGCAAACCGCGGCGCCCAAAGTCCCATCTTACCGGCTGCAAACGAAAACTGTGACGTATTGATTCTTTTCATCTTCAGGGTCGCACTCTGAGTGGCTGTTACTGGCCCGGGCAACAGGAACGCCGTGTTGGGTGGAGCTGAAGAAAGCCCGGGATGGTATACCCGTAGAGTTTGACGCGCATGCTTCTTGGGGAAAGATCGACCCGTTGCCATCTGGTAGGACCTCCACAGCGGCCAAAGAAATCTGTGGCAGTTCCACGACATGTCCGAAGGCAATGGAGGCGCTAGACTGCTTCCACCGCCAAATGCCTTGCTGGCACAAACCTCCGAGTGGTCCTAGAAGGCTAGGCATCCAGGTGTGGGATCCTACTAGGCCACTCTTGTGAACTCAAGAACTAGCTGACGTTGGAATTGGAAACCATCCCTCCTGGGCGGCCCTAACACAGCCAAGGCACAGGAGAAACTTCATGCGGAGCTATGGAACCACCCAAACCCCCCCAAAAAAAGCCATTTCCCCTGCCGCGACGTCTGAACCGTGCCCGCGCGGCGGCGCGCCACGCACCGGGGCATACAAGGCCAGAAACCGTGCCACACCGAGGGGTGCAGAACACCTGACGGAAGCACAAGGCCTGCAGCAGGAGGCCGTGCCCGCCGGCGGGAAGCGCGGCACACCACGCAAGGCCAGCAGGCCGTGCCACGGCGTGAAGCACACACGGGGGCACAAGGCCAGCGGCGCAGCGGGGTGCCACAACAGCGGCAGGAGGCCGTGCGACACTGCGGGGTGCAAGAACTCATGGGGGCACAAAGACAGGGGGGCGACCGCACGCCACACCCAAGAGCGCTGTCTCCCCTGTGGTACGGTTCAGGGAGGGGAGGGGTGCTCATCGGTTTGGAAACCTTAGCGCCGGTTTTCGGGGTCCACACTCCCCCAACAACCCCAACACCTCCAAGAACCACAGGGCCCAGCAAGATCAAGAACTAGCCATCGCCAACACTCGGACGACATGAACAATCAAGTTCTATGAGCGACTCCGGCCGCCAAAACCACCAAAAGCCGCCAGGCTGCCCCAGCCGTTGGAAGCGGGCCTGGGGCTCTCAGGGGTGAGCTTGGGGGGCGGGAAGGGCGGCAGCTTGAAGGCATCCAGCGCCTCCAGCCTGCGCTTTTGTCCGAACATCGACGGAACGAATGGAGGCGGAACTTGCGCACCTTGCACAGGACTGACCCTAGGACGTCGTTTCTGTTTCTAGATCCCTGCTTACAATCCAGGATGCTTTTCCAGCCCGTGGAACAATCTGCACCATAGCCTGTTGGCCACCCTCTGGCCGCATGAGACCCAGTTCAAAAGATTCGCGTCTGCTCGCCTCCTTGCCCTGCAAATTTGTGCAGTGAAGCGTTCGCATTGGGAAGCGCATCAGGGTAGCAGAAGGGGTCCCTGTTTCGTGGCTTCCGGTCCCTCCAAAGGAACCCAAGCCCCTTCCAAAATCGGTGCCAAACCACCCCTGCCTCATGCTCGGCACTGGCGCGTTCGGCAGCACTGGCGAGGCGGCGGGCGAGGTTGGGCCTCGGGCGCAATGCGCGGGACGCAAAACGAGGAGGGCCCTCACGCGATATATTTGCAGCACAGGCGTCCACAAAAGCCCATCCCCAAAGCATCCAGCAGGCCTAGGCCACCGTGCAATTCTCTGCCACGAACTCATCCACGCGTGCTTTGAGAAGACTGCCGTGCTGCTGGCAAAGTTCCGCTAAATCGGCTTTTAGCCTCGGACAAGGCGGCTGAACGGGTGAGCATCAGCTATGCAGAGTAAGGCAAAACGTCCGAAGTTCTAACGAACCAAAACCACTGCAATTGTTCTGCTCCTTCTTCATCTTCCTTTATAAAACGCCAGCAGCTTCCCATCACGCGTCCAAGAAGCTGCTTGACCGCTTGGATGCTCATCTTTCAGGGTGAAACTGGTGTAGCTACGGCAGCACCATGGCACCACACAAACGAAAAGCTGTCTGGCAAGACAGGGTTGGAATATGTTGGAATTATAGTGGTCTGCGGAGGGACTTCCGTGGTCTGCGCACCTGCCTGATGCAATGCGCATCGCTGTGCCACATGCTCGATGGCGAGGTGCGAACAACAAGCTCATCATCCAGGGCTCTGTGGCTATTCGTACTTTGAGCCAAGCTGCAAAATCACGCACGCGGCTTCGGCCCAAAACATATGGTTGCCATCGTTAGTCTTTGACAACAGCGGGTAAGAGTTCCCGGCTGAAGTGGCCAAACATCTAACAGAAGCACTTTCCAACTCGATGCGAGGCGGGCAAAGCCGGCTCCCTGCGCCACTTGAGCTAGTCCTCGAAACCAGTTATGCCATTGACACAATTGACACTGTTGTCGCTTTTAGAACGACCACAGCCCAAGCGCCGAAGCTCCAAGCCACTCCGCGCGCCACGCGCTGGGCGTCCTTGGCCTGGCTGGTCATCAAGTACCTCTCGGCATCGCGTTGAAAAAAAACGCGCGGCGTGTCTCGACTCTGAAAGTTGGGGTGCGGTATCAACATCCAGGCGCATGGGGCCGGGTCTCAACTTCACCCTTAAACTAAAGGAATTTTGCGGCAGAAGAGGGCGCCCACATCAAAAACCGCGATGAGGTTCTGGGCTTTCGCCTGAGTGAACTGCAAAGCTCCACCTTTCTAGGGCGGTTCTGAATCGAAAAGGACAGGACACCCGACCATTGTGAGGGTCCGAAACCTATTTTGACATATGCCCCAGAGCTTCCAGGACGTTCAGAAGTACTCAGCTTGCTCCGATCGGGCACAGTCTCTGCAGGAAGCTAGGCAACGGCTTGGCTCCATCCTTGGCGATCGTGCGCGTGTGTCTATGTGGTGTGTCTGTGCCCATCTTGCCACACCAGGCACAAAGCTCGACATGTTTTCGCTGCTTGTGGCGAGCACGCTTGAATTGCCCGTCATTTTCTATTGCTTGCTAGTTGCTTCCGCCGCTTCAATCACGAGCAAGCTAGGTTGGGGAGCCATCCCCCGACTCGGACCCGGGCCAGGCTGGGCGCCGGCAATCGCCAGCGGGCGGCCAAACCCGACAGGAGCTCCTGCAGCGACTCAGCGGACACAAGAAAACATGCGTCCCACCGCTGCCAGGACAGCATGAAAAGATGTGGCAAGCGCGTATTTCATTGACAAAGACGCCCGTGTGGCTTGCCGAACGTCCTTACATCACCTTCACAAAGAACCCATGGCTTGCAAGCAAACCCATGACGCAGGCACAAAGGTCTCACTAGGAGGTGGCAAACTGAACTTTGCAATCACTTGCAAACGCCGCATCTACAACTTCCCTGTCCCTCTCTATCTTGTCAGCAATGGTGCGGCTGGGCCATCTGCCCCACTCAATGCAACGACCAACATCAAAGACATTCAAACCTTCTCCGCACAAGCGTCCAGAACTTTGGCTCACGGCGCCCTTCCACAAACTGTCCTCCCTCCCCCTTGCAAACTACAAAGCGGGATCACCTTTCGCGCCGCCCTCCTGCAGCAGGCTGCTCTGTGTCAAACCCCGCTGACCTCAATTGCAGTGTGCTTATAAGTGCTTGCAGACATCAAAAACGCCCCCTCTGTGTAACATACTGAATTGGGACTGCTGCGCAGTCTTGGGAGTCTTTAGGAGAAGTGTGCGATTGGTTCTGCGGCGGCTCAGGCGCCGGCGCACGCTTCCAGGCGGCCTCAGAGCTCAACACACGTTTTGGAACCGGCGTTGGGATAGATTGCCCCGGCCCATGGCAACCAAAGGACCGCAAACGCCAGACACTGCCGCTGCAGACAGGCCACAGGGACAGAACGTACTTGTCCAAGGCCGCGCGCAGCAGCGCCACCTGCCCAGAATGCCGCAGCTTCCCTGAGTAGCTTAGACTTCCGAGTGTAGCATGGAGCCAAGGCATGCAAACAGAAACCTGGGACCGGGGAATAGCAACTTGCTAAGTGGGTGTGGCTCAAAAATCGGGGTCCAAAATGAAACCCGGGTAAGTGGAAAGGTAGGCTAAAAGCTGAGTAACCGCAGTTGTTTGATTTTGACCCACACCCAAGTCAGCTTTCCAGCTACCAAGCTTGGCCCTGGCCATGCGCTGAGCAAGCGCTTCGCCCGCCTCCCTCCTCTTGTTGCGCTCGAGCAGCTGCGGCACCTGCCACATGGCCATTGCTTGCCGGGGGGTTCCAACAATTCACTGCCCTTCCGCACATGCACCTTCACTGCTCGCAAAAGGCCCGGCTTTAAACATAACAAGGGAGTGGAAATGCTATATGTCTTTGGAGAGCACCTTGGCCTCCCTGCCAGGCCTGGCAGACCTTTGCTGGGCACAGGCGGACGTAGAGCTGCTCCAGCCTCAAGGGGCGCATGGGTGCGGCAGCGGTGCTTGTGGACACCGGGCACCGGACTTAGTGGAGCAATAGTTTGCTCGAAATGAACCGCCCGCAGCCAAAATGGGCCGGGTCCGAAGGGTAAGATTTGAGGCGAAAAATGAACAACGCGCGGCACAAGCTTGGGCCAACATGTTTACCAAGTCAAGGGCGCCAAACAACCAAGCAGCGAATTTTGGTCTGCCCCGACTTGCACCAAAACTTTTGCTATGGCTGAAGATCCCTGCGCTATCTCTGCTGCGCTACTGGGAACAAATGTAACCTTTTTCCGTGGCACTCCATGAATCCTTCCGTCTGAGGCCGCTTCACCCATCGCACAGCATCCACGAAGGGCGGGCCAGGGATCGGCACCTTTGAACGGCCAAATGCTGAGGAGGACTGAGCATATCGAAGCCTCACGCTGATTCCCCGAGTCCTCAAACCATTCGAGCAAACCTGCAGGGCAGAGCTCACTTTATACTCAAGTGGACATTAGTAGGGCCAGATTTGACGGCGCAGTTGACTAGTTTGCCAACTCTTCGGCTTGTCACAGTTGACCTGGCTGCTTGCTTGTACGTTGGCCCCTCGTGGCCTTGCAACTCTGCATGAACGCATCCCCTGCCACAGGGGGTGTTGATGCCCATGTCTCGAGCAGCCAAGCCACCGGATCCGAAGCTGGCGCCCCAGCCAGCGGGGCGGCCGGGGCCGAAGCCGGAGGAGCCGGAGGAGCCGGAGGAGCCGGAGGAGGAGCCGGAGGACGGGCTGCCGGGGCCGCACGCGGCGCCCGGAACCGCGGCGACCTCGACCGCGGTCGGGCCAGCAGCGGCGACCATGGCGGCGGTGAATGCGGCGGCGGCAGCGGTGGCGGTGACGCGGGCGGCCTCATCGATTTGGGCAGCCTTGGCAGTGACTCTTTTGGATGAAGCGGGTGCTCCGAACCGGAGCGCCAAGTATAACAAAGTCGCTAATTGCACAGGGTAGGTTTGGGGCATCTGGCACCTTTCATAATTTAGAAGCATGCCTTGTGTATCCTTTCAATGCTTGCCAACCCAACCAGGATTCAAAAGGCAATTTTTCTCGCGGCTTGCCTGATGGAAAGGCAACAAATGGCTACCCACGCTTGGTCCCTTCATCTCCGGCACGTGTTTTGCCCAACTCCCACCATATCGCATCTCCACCACACAGATCATGACAGCCATACAGATCACGGAACATATTTTGCAAAGTTTTGTTGCATGTTGTGTGTTGCTCTCGTCCAGGCAGGCTGCCCTTGGAATCAGTTGGGTCCCGAGCTTCCTGTCTGGGTTCCCAGGCTCGCGCCTAGCCTTTGTGGAGGGCAGCCTTGGATGAAGGTGAGCTGGACATGGCTTTCAGGCGTGCAAGGCTGAAACCAAAACCAAAAGACTTGGCTTCCAGCTTGGAAACGACCAAAACACTTGGCTTCCCTTGCCAGGCTTCCCTTGGATTCCCTCCTGCCCCCCTTGGAACGTTCCCGAAAAATGGGCAAAACAAAACGGGCCCCCGGGCGTGGCGGAGCGGAACCGCTCCGCTTGCCTGGCGGGTCGTTACAAAAGGCGCGGAGTTCGAGGCCGAACGCCAGACAGCAGTGAGCAACTCCGTGCACATGGGACGCCATGACACCAATCCCGTGACAGACTCCAGGCCAACCAGCTCGACCGAAAAATCCCCGGGGCTCCGGCTCCGACCGGCTCGACCTCTTTGGCTTCTCGGGACTGGCGAAGGCCCAAGGCAAAGGAAGGCGCAAGAGCTGAGTCCAAGATGCTGATTTCTCAGTGAGCCATTGCAGAGAAAATTCAGCTGCCGAATATGGCTGAAGCCCCACACCTTGCAAGTGCGAACCACACAAATGTACGTCCTTCTGCCAGAAACTTTGCTACACGGCATCCGCGGCCCCTTGTCCCCCGATTCAACATTGTCCTCCGGGGACAGGGGGTCTCTTGGCAAAAACGACAGCCCATCTTTCAAATGTGCTTCGACAGTATGCCTGCAAATTTAAATGAGGTGGGCACAAGTTGCCCCTCTACTGTGGGATGTAAAAAATGTGAGAAGAACGAGGAAGAACGAGATGGTACTAGAAATGGACAGTCCAGGTCAACACTCCCGGCCCAACTGAGCTCACGGCAATGGATATGTCAGGAGTGGCTGAGCGGGTTCAGCCAGCCTTGGCACTGTCCGCACGCTGATGCACGCTGAAGGGGCCAGCCATGGTGAACAACACTACGCTCGGCGAGTTGTGCACGACCCACACACAACACATGCAAGCGCAAACGCACCCGCACACGCACACGCGCGCGCGGGCCGGGCCGCATTTTTTTTTTTACAAAATGTCTTGGCTTAGCAGTGCCCATAGTCCTTGCAGGTCGCGTCAGCTCCTTCAAGCAGACATCTCACACCTCAGTTGGGAAGGCTTGTGCCATGGCACGGGTGAATACGTGTCTACCTATGTATCCACTCCATATATTATGCATCCAACGTCGTATGTGTAGCCCATCCCGTCCCATCCTATCCCATTCTATCCAGGTGTAAACAGAAGGAGGCGAGCGCATGCAAGCGCACATGCGTATACATGCTCTCACCACTCTTCGCATGTAACGCCATTCGAAGCTGTGGAACGTGGCGAATGCTCCGTCCAGACAACACGAGAGCACCCATGCCTGCGCACCGAAAGCAAGCGATGCAAACCCACCACGGTTGATCCGTTCTAGCCTGGGCATTACGGGGAGGACTAGAGACTCTCTGGCGGTTGTGCCCGCGTGAGTTCCAACCAGCATCCCCCACAGGACAAATCTGGGGTTCAGGGCTGGGAACCTGCTCAGCGCAAGCACGCGTGCGCGTCATGGCAAGGCCAGCCCCGCAATCAGTACAAGCACGCGCTTCCCAACTTGGAGCCCCACGAGCTAGTCAGGCCTGCCACCCGCACCCGTGCAGACGAGTCCCTCCACCAACCGCACAGGCAGCGGTCCCCCCTGTGAGCTGCACACGGCACAAGCATTATGCCCTTGGCGTGACGGGCGGTGCCCCGCAGAAATGGGCACCGCCCCGGACCAAGTGGTGGTTGTGCAAAAATTAGAGTCCACCAAGTCCCTTTTAAACAAATAATATGCTAGGCCACCGGATATGTTTGACCGAACCTCACATAAGTCAAGAGTGGTGAGCCACGATGTTCCGCGTTTCGCAAGCTCGCCAGGCCGCATCGAAGCAGTGCTCCAGCTTGTACTCATGAAAGTGCGCCTGGCCTGGCATTCCGCAGGCCAGGCATCGCGGTTTGAATGCTGCCGGCTTCTTGCGCAAAGCGTCGTGCGATACACCAACGGACACGGTGCCTCAAACACCACGGGTGACTTAAATTGTCAGCCTATAACTCTTTGGTTTGCCCAGAAAAGCCGAGTTGAAATCTGGGCAGTCCCTGTGTGCCTTTAACGGGAAACCCTTCAACTGGGGGTTATGCATGCAAGCTCGCCTGAGCAAAGCTTCACTCCTTGCCCCAGGTTCTTCTTCGGGTACTTGATCTTCAGTGGGCTCCTGGGTGCCGAAAAGCTGCTCGGCGCACTTGCGCTTTACTGCAGCTATCGAAAAACTTGCTGGTGCCCAGCAGGGAAAGAGGGAATGAACCTGGGGGTCCCCTTAAAGGGAAACCACGAGGGATGGCTTGTAGGGGTCATTTCACAGCTTGGGCCGTCAAAACCCGCGCGCATCTCCGAGCAAGGCACAACTCAGGGCAGCCAACATAGGAGGAGACCGTGGGATCGCCGCAAACGCTGTACTCCACCTGTGCATGGCAAGCTGGCTTGCAAACTGGGGCAAAAATATACATCATGCTTTTTCTGAGCTGGTGCTTGTGCTGACTGTATATGTATATGTATATTTGAGCAGCGCTTTCCACTTGAGCCCTGTCTGTCTGCGTGACTGCCAGGTCCTTTGAGAGTCCTGTTGGGAAAACCCCCAATAACAAATCTCGATGCGCTTGACCAAACCCGTAAAATTGTAAAACAAACAGGCATTCGACCAGGATTCAACCGGTCAGGTGCTGCCAGCAGCAACTTTAGTGCCAGAGAGCTCTCGCCTTGCCAGCTTCCGTGTAGTGGAATACCACCAAGTCGACAATGGAGAGAGACACCGAGTCACCGCCGGAGGCTAGGTGCTTCGTGCCAAACCTGTCTTCCGCTCGGCACAAAATCTGCAAGCGACGACAGCTTTTCGCCTTGGAGTAGGTATTGCCACAAGATTCATTCGCACCAGACCAGCTATGGAGGTAAACCTATGGAAAGCATGGAAAAGCCGCCAAGAACAACTGATGCCTGTGGCTCTTGTAGCCATACGCAAGGCAACATCCACGCAACCCCCCAATGCCAAGGCCAAGCGGCATCCCAGAGACCAAGAACAGGTCGTTGTCTCCTGGCCGACAGAAAACGCTCTCCAGGTCGAAGTGGCCCCCGCAGCCGTAGATCCCACTAAAATGTGGTTGCAGCGATGTCAACAGACTAGTTGCTGCCTTTTGTCCTCTGTAACTCATGGACCTCCGGACATCTTTTCTGGTGTTTTGGACTCCCACCTGCTCAGATCAAGCTGCGCATTTGCTTGGTCTGAGGGCGCATTACAACAAGGGGCCCAGCAAGATGGAAGGGGACAATAAGCGCTGCTATTTGACTCAGATGGGGGAATCCCACCCTTAACCCACCCTCCACATGCTTTACACCCTTCTTAAGTTCACTTAAATGGTCTGAATCTCTTACCCATCTTTTACGTCGCCACGCCGCCCAAACCCCTTCGCCGCTTCGCCGAAACCGCCGCTTCGTTCCGATCCTTCTTTGGGAAACCTCACCACGCCGTCCAGGTCCATGCTGGTGGCCAGCAGCGTGCCGCAGCTGTCCCCAGGGTTGGCGAAGGTGGCGTTGTAGAAGGTGATGGACTGGAAGTCCGTGAAGCCACTCCTAAGCCCAAGAAAAGCGGTGGAGAGCCCCACGGTTGTTTCCCGGCAAGATGAAAACTTTAGGGTCTGCCTTGAAATGAGTCAGGCCCCCCTCCTGTGCCGCCCGAAGGTGGGGTAGGTGATATGGATCCCTAAACTCGTGGGATGTCGCTTGCCTCTCGAAAGCTAAAGAACATGCCAGGTCTCAAGTCACGGGAAGGCTCACCATCTTTCCAAAAAGCAGCCTTTGTTTAAAGATGTTTTTAAACCTCCATTTGCTCAAGTCCCCCGGAAAAAGTATCTCCAGTAGAGGTAGGTTCCCTGTAAAAACCAACAGGGAAATAACAAACAGTTCGTTAAGATGGTGGTAGGCGTCCAAAATCCATGATTGCTAGGCTGGCAGGCTGACCTTAGAGCTTGAGCTCGGCCTGGAATCACAAAAGCGATGCTCCAAGAAATATTTACCTAAGCCTGCGCCCGCTGAATGGGAGACAGCCAGCATGGTCCCCAGTCGAAACCGAAGTGCCGCCCCATTCAAGACCTTACGAATCTGCCCACCCCAAATGAGGCCGAGCGGCTCTTCCTCCGAGCAGCTTTGCGTCGGCCAGTCGAAGCTGAATCGCCCGTAGGCAAGGCTCAAGTACCGCGGGTCGGCGATGCCGGCGCCAGTCTTGGCGTTGATGAACTTCACCAGTCCTGGCCAAGGCATGGGGCTTGGCGCCCCCAAGGTCCATCGAAATTAGATGGGTTTTGGAGAGCTTACAGGTGCAGGGCCTAGCCCAGGACTACCTTCGATCCCATTGCACCACCAATTGTCCAAAAGTGAGGCGGTGCATGCGACCGTATCATTTGCTACGTATGATGTACTCATCTAGTGCTTTGAACTGAAGGCCAGGCTGGTGGAAGTTCCATGTTTCCTCGCAGCCGCTCCTTGCACATTGAGGCTCACCCCGAAGACGAAGCCCTTGGCCTGCATGCCTGTCTGAGCCTGCGTACAGCTGGGCTGTAATTGCCCTTCTCACAATCCAGAGGATAGTGCAACTCAGCAGCATGGCAACACCAGAGATCAGGTTTCAACAAACAAAACTCGGAGCTCTTGGACCTTCCTTACTTCAAGCATCTTGCCCTCGCAGCCCTCTCCTGGTACTCCGCTCTCGAGTTCGCACCAGGAACGACCCCAAACCTCGGCACTGACAAGCCAAGGGCGCAGTGATGGGATCCCTCAAGCTGCTTCTTCTGATGCCCCTCATCTATTCAGACCAACTTGCCCAAAATCAGACGGCGCAACCCAAGATCCGGGTCATGCACAACTGCCACAAGCTGGGTGGCCCACATAAACTGTGACGCTGAGGCCGTTGGAAGACTGTGCCCGGGCAGCGGGCCGTCTGCTGGCATTGATTCGCTCGTGGGCAGCGGCATGTCGAGGGGCATTGAGCTGTCTGAAGGCAGCACGGCTGTGGGATGTGTGGTGTAGTCAGTGGGGTGCGGGCTGTAGATGGGCATCGGGCCGTCTGCTGGCATTGATTCGGACGAGGGCAGCGGCATATCGAGAGGCATGGAGCCGTCTGAAGGCATTCCAGCCATCGGCTCTGCCCCCAGAGGGGGCACTGGTGACCCCATCGGCATCGGGGGCATTGGCATATCGAGAGGCATTGAGCCGTCTGAAGGCATTCCAGCCATCGGCTCTGCCCCCAGTGGGGGCACTGGTGCCCCCATCGGGGGCATTGGCTCCGCTGCGACCGGCGCCACTGGCGCAGCAACAGGGACAGCGGCTGCCACCTAGGCAAACTTGCAGGATCAGAATTCTGGACTTGGGTTCCGAATCAGTTCTGAACACGAAACTCTGCCCTAAGGCCCGTACTTGCATGGGGCTGGTCAGCGCCGAAAGGTGCGTGGCAATTGCTTCCTGCAAAGCATGCCACCAGGCTTGGCGGGTGTTTCACTGCAAGGCAACGGACATATCTTGGAGAGGCCCCCGGCATCGCTGCGCTTGCATGCATGTAGAATCAACAGAGCAGGTCTGCACCCAAAAACGCCAAGTACAGCAGCAGGAGTCAGTTGGGACCTGTGGGCAAAAGCTGCGGGAAGCTGGGGCTACCTGTGGTGTGTTGAGAAGTGCAGTTCAGTGACTCTGCGTGTCCTCTCCCATGGCCAGTCGCATGTGGCTCGATCTATGTGTCACCCTGACCATCCCATGTCCCCATTGGGAAAAACGGGCACTCCTTCACCCTGACACCCGATAGAACCAGCCAAACAGCACCACGAACCCTGCAAGAAAGCAAAGCAAGGAGCTTGCTTAAGCTATTGGCCTCGGGGGCGTTTTCGAAAACACGGACTGAACCAAACCCTCCTACTTGCCAGGCTCTCAAAGATGGCGGACCCTCCTTTGGCCATGTTTCTGTGGCTGCTTTTTGTTTTTCCCCTTTCTCCTTTTCCCTCCTCCCCGCTTGAAGCCTCACGGAAAGCTGCCATTTCCAGGGACCCGCGAGGGATCCTGCCTGGGCGTCGCTGGGCATGGCTGCCACCACCTCCAGCACCGCCTCGGCCTGCGCATCGCTGAGCTCCGCCTGCCGGAGTTCCAAAGAGTCCGAAGTCTGCCTATCTGAGGGTGTTTGTACTACATGGGAATAACACGCTTGGGAAATGTATCCGGAAATGTGCCTAAATGGGGTCAATACCCAGTGGGTGTATTCCCAGGGTGTAATGCAAAAAACCCTTAGAGCCTACAATTGAAGGTGAATTACAGTATTATAATTCACCAACCTGAAACAAGGTGGTTGGGGGCTATTCCAAACATAAACCACCATTTGGGGTGAGGTCGTGTGAGGTCGTTATAGTTCACCCAGACCAGGTCGTTTCTTTCTTTCTTTCTTTCTTTTTCGCAACCCGACTCATTGGGTTGTTGTTTCCTTAGCCCTTTCGCGGTCTGCCACGAAACCGATCTTCAAAAACAAATCAAGTCCAGGAACTGAGGCCTGCAATGTTTGCTTCCCATCTCTGCTGGACACGCGTCGCCACGTGTAAGATCCTGCTATGATATCAATATGTATGCATCTGCCTTTGGTCAGTTGCCATTCCAATCGAGTGAGGGTTTTCAAGAAGACCCGCATTCAGTCCTCCCGCTCTAACCTCCTAATTTCAGGCCCCAAAGGGAAGCCAAAGGTGCTTTCAACATGCCCTCACGCCACTGATGAATGCCGCGCTGTAAACTGCAAGTCATCCGTGGCGAGCTGCTTTCCATGCCCCCGCGTGATATCGAGCGCCGCTGCGCAAGACTGCACGCAGAACCATCATCGAGAGCAACCCCCGCCTTCTGCGCTGCGCTGACCTGAGCCGAGGAGAAGCGCCAAAGCTGCCCCAGAAAGCAACGGATCAACATAATTTGTGATGCAGGCAAACTTGACATGCGATTGGTAGTGCGACTGGTCAACGCACTGCTCACTGGCAGCCAGCTCTGGGCACGTGATACGCAAACAATCAGCAGCCAGCCATCCTGTGGGGGCCGGTGTCCAAACAACTCCAGCGTTTGCTGGGCACCAAGCCCCAGCCTGAAAAACAAGCTTCACAGCCACGACGCAAAGGCAAGTCTTAAGTCATGCAATTGAAGTACGGATGGCGATACAAGGCAACTCTTGAAAACAAGTTCAATGAGTCATGCAAGATAAGGCGAAAATAGCGTTCAAGTCATTCAAAGTAAAGGCTTTGTTCCAACAACAAAGAAGCCACCGGTTCCCAGCGCTTACGCTTCGATTTCCCGAAAAAAGCCGCGGGAATGACCCGTTTCCAAGGCGCCACCCGTTTCAGCACCTCCGACTCCACCTCCGCGGTGTGCGCCTTCCGTGCCGCCTCCGCCGCAGCTGCGACCTGCGGCTGGGATTCGGAAGCTTCGGAAGTCGCTGCTCTTGGCATGCGGGTTGCAACTGGAGGATGCAGGGGGTTGTGGTTCTGCAATTTTCAGGATGCAGGAAGCAAGAAGGTGTAGAGGGGGCAAATTCGGGAAGCTCAGCAGCCGGTGCGCAGAAGGGACAAAGGAAGAGTAAACTAACGAGCATCTTGAAGTGGGCGGTGCAGCTATTCGGAAAGAACCCCCCGTCGTGGGTCACACCAGCACCCTATAAGAAGGTCTGTCTCAAGGCTGTGAAGCTGCAACGAGTCCAAACTGCACGAACAAGCGGCACTCCACACATGGATTACATCAAACACACCTGGCTCCAACATGGTGCCCCACAGCCATCGATGATTGCCCCGTGCCTTGTCAATACCTGTTTTAGCCCTTTGTTCACCAACCTATGCTGATGCCAAGCCGTGAATAAGCATCAGAAAATGAAAAACAAAAGGGCAAAAAAAAAGTCAGCGGTCAGATGCCAAGGCGCTGCGATGGAGGCCGAGCTGGCCTGCTCGCTGTCCGAAACGCCGGCCACCGCCTCTGCCTGCACCACCTGAGTCTGGCGTACCTACCTACCCAGCTACCTGCCTACCTACCCAGCTACTTACCCAGCTACCTACCTATCTACTTACCTACCTACCCAGCTACCTACCTGCCTAGTTAGATGGTTGGCTAGTTAGCTAGCTACCAAAAGACATATGTTTTGCAGGATGGAAAAGGACTGCCCATGCCGCTCGCGCTTGCCTATACTCCTGGGGCCGTTGGGGGCTCGGGGCTTCCTTCTAGTGCTCGTTGCATACCTGTAGAAGGTCCGGGCCAAATGAGTGTCGGAGTCGAAGGTGACTGAGCCACAAACAAAGCAAAGACTGAACTTCAAGTTCCACACTAAGATTGTTGCTGGCTGCCTGACAGCTTTGCCGGGGTGGGTGACTTATGCGGGGTCCACACGGTTGACGAGCCCTCAAAAGAGCACCAACAGCGACAGTAAGGCCACGGCAGTCCCAGACCATTGAGCACCAAAGACTCCCGAATTGGAAATTCATACCCTAATTATTTTGGCTGGGCCGGCAAATCTGACGCCTGAGCCTGAACCGCTGGCTGCATTCCCACCCCATGCAGCCAAAGCACCGCCGACACCTTCTGCGCAGGCTCCACCCCGGTCATGTGCAGCACTTCTACACCCTCCTGCGCAAAGTGTCAGGTGACAGCCCTGTTGCTGTTCAGCGACAAACAAACCCACCTAACAACACGAAGCCTGCCCCGCTGCCAGCACGCAGGTCGCACATGCCCCGCCGGATCCCGTTTCAACGACATGTCCCCCCCCCCTCATGGCCCACATGCACACTTCCGCTCCGAGGCCGCCCTCATGGCCGTGGCCACTGCAACTTGCTCGGCAGCTGTCAACGTTTCGGCTTCCGTTGCGATCCTGAGACGCGGCAAAAGACCTGCCAACAAGAAACGGACACTTTCCTGGGAAACGGCTGTAGCACATTGGGCAGCGACCGCAAAGAGCTGCTACCAGCTACAGGCCCAACGTGGCGGGAAGCTTCTGTGCTGAGAAGGCGGGGGAGAAAAAAAAAAAAAAGACAAAAACATGGCAATTATTCGATCTTCTTGGTATATAAATCGTTTTCCGTCTGCCAAGTGTCTTGCTGACCTGCTCCGGCTTCAAACCCGCATCCTCCGAAGCCTTCACCACCATGCCCACCCCATCCTCGGAGCACCGCAGCCCGGCGCGGCCAAAGATGCCCCTACCACCCCTGGCTGCAGGCGCCCCCATGTCACACCGCGGCGGGCGAAGCTGTCGGCAAGGCCGGCTATGAAGGCAGCCATCCACCAAACACGCATCAACTGCATCATGCCAAGCAGCAAAGGAGGTTGTCGTGGCCACCACCTTCAAGTATTCTTCGGCAGCTGATTTGGCAAGATTCACCTCCGTGCGCTACCCAACCGACGGATTTCCCGGCAATATGATCTGCAACCCGACAACTTCACAAGACCGATGGCCGCTTCACAAACACCCGTGCCTAGTGATAGAGATGCAACACCCCTTCCATCACTCAAATCATTTAGTTTGTTTTTCCCCCCCGGAAAGCCACGTCAGGTGGTGCAAGATGTCGCACCAATTCTGTTTCTGTGCGGCCCCTGCTTCCCACCCTTCAGCACTTGATCTTTGCGCCCTTCCTTTCATTTTCACCGGGGGCAGGTCTCCGCGCCACATGTGTGTGTGTGGGTCAAAATTAAGCCACCAGGATGTGGACCGCAGGCTTTTAGTCTTTGGTTCCATTTACCAGGGCAACCCATTTGGATTCTTGACCCACAGCCACATGGGGAAGCGGCGCCTTCTCCTGCGGGCTGATCGGCGCGTCCTCCAACTTGGCAGACACCGCGTCCACGATGACGCGGGCATCCGCGTTGGCCAAGTCCACCTTTGGCCGTTTTGGGGACTGACTGCCTCAATCTGCCGCGAAAAGAGGCTTGTTGTCTTGCTGGTTTCTCAGCAGGGGAATGAGGAAATCACCTGCTGGGAAACCATCCCCTATGGTTTCCGTCAAGGGATCCCTAGGTTCATTCTCTCATAGCACCAGCAAGTTGCTTGAACTCTCATACTTGTTCTCAACCCTTGCAAGCCGACGAGCGCAGGCCGGTGCAGGGCTGACTCTCAAATCGTGCGGCAAGCTCTACGTGCCAACTGCATATGCTGCATGGGAATCGGTCCAGCCCAGCCACTTCAGCTGGTTCTGGCGTGGTAGTTGTAGGCATCACCCCGGCGGCGATCAGGACGTCAGCAATGGCTTCCCTCACAATGCCCCCAAAACAAGTCCCAGCAGGTCTAGGGGGTGGGCTTTGAGTAGGCGTCGCCTTGCTTGCCCCTTGGGCAGTCAAGCAGTTCAGGCACCACCCTTACCCTAGTCATCAGACGCCGCCTGCAGGGAAAAATATGCCCTGCGTTACACCAGCTTTGGGGGTCTTGGGTATTCCCGACTTCCCATGTGGCTTGGGTGCCGCAGCTTGCCGGGACTCGAGTAAGAGCTGGTGCAGGACTCGTTGAACGGACTTCAAGCTGCATTCTGCTTGCTCAACTTGCAGCCAAGCCCTTCTACGGCCGCAACTCTGCAGGCGGCCAAGACTCTGGTTGTCTGGGCTCTCCTTCGCGGCAGCATCAGCAATCGCCGCCTTGCCCTCTGGCTCCATCTCGGTGCCTGTGAACGCCAGGCAATGGCGAAGGTTTCGATAGCCTGCATTTTGTTGCCACGAACCAAGCCGAAAAAAGATTAAGAGTTTTTTGCCGGGGCATCCGTTCGGCTTCAGCCCAGTCGAAACTTGACATTGTCAAGCAGATCAAACGTTGCTATCCCCAAGAGTTGAAGCCATATGTTTTTCCTCTTGGCTTCGCGGGCGGTTTGAGGCTACCATATCTACGCTGGCTTGGGACCCTTGAAGACATATTAATGCTGAAGATCCAAAAAAGCTGCGCGAAACATGATTTGGTTCCAAGCAAAGGGGACTCGCCCGCCCAAAAGAAATAAAATGGGCTGGTAAAAGCCCTCCTCCTCCCACTGCCACCCATCCGCATTTCTCTCAGCCCGGCTCCTTGCAGGGCCCGGCCCACCACGCCGATGTTCCCTGTTGTCGTTACCTGGGCATCCTGACCCGACCGAGGAATCGCCGGGAGAAAAACGAAGAGGCGTTGCGCCTACCCTCCCACCAATTGTCAAATGGTGCCTGACCTTAGAGGGGCCTGGTTTGGACCATTTGCCTTTTCAAAGGGAGCCCCGAATATCAGGTTCCATGTGAAAATTGGTGGGAGGGTGCATGTTGCACTTATACTTCACCACATGAGGAACCGGAGGAGCATGGCTGACCAGCATGGCTGACCAAAGGCACATCTCAAGAAAGGGATGGGCCAGCCACAGGGTTGCAAGTGGGGCTGCCGGCAGAACAAGCAATAGCGACATAGCGAATCAGGAAAGGGCGATGAGGCACATGCCCGTTCTTTGTTCTTCTGTGGGCACACCTTGCGACTGCTCAGAACAGGCAAAGCGCTCATCACACTGCCGTGATTGGTTTTAGAACGCGTTTTGCAAAAACAAGTCTCGTATCAACTCGCACCATCACGGCACCGCAATCCAGAATCACAAGCATCTTGCTCAAATAGCTTCCACAAGCCCGATCCTCTTGAATCAAACCAGGCCAACGGTCTTCCTTGCACGTTGCATCGGAGATTTATCGCTTGATGTTCCCAAGCGCTCCCGCTAGAAACCGCTTCAGATCCAATTTCGAAGGGAAGGGCAAGCTCGGCAGTCGAACATCAGGTTCCTCCCCTGAAGTCATCACTCGAAAAAGAAACTCGTCAAAAAAAGATGGCGAAGAAGGCAAGACATGAGGACCTCCGGAAAGCCGGCATCTTGTGATACGCCAGTGCTTCATTCCTTACTCCTTGCGAGGGCAGCACCAGCGCTTTGCTGGTGCGGTACTGCTTCAAAAGTGATGCCGAAAAACATAAAAACTAAAAATAGTTGGTTCCCAACGCTGTAACTGCATCTCTTCTTGAAAAGCTCCCTTGGCCCACGGGTTTCCATCGACATCCACCGCATCCACCGATTCCGCTCCTTGAGCGCCGCGGGCAGCGCGCTCTCCGCCGCCGCGTGGGCGAGCTGCGCCACGGTGAAGCCCGCGCCCGCGGTGGCGTCCACCACCGCAGCCACCTTCTCCTCTGGCGTGGGACATGGGACGCTGGGGGGGGGGGAGAGGGGCAGGACACACTGTGGATGGTTGGCTGCACCACCGTTCAGAAACCCTGGAATTTGTTTATGATTCCCATGGAAATACCAGCAAACAATGACTTCAAGCATGGTTTCAAAGTGGTGCGGACGGATTTCGTCCATCCACAGGAAAACTCGGGGGGCGGGGGGGAGGAAACAAGAAGCGGCAAACCACACGGAATGCCGCGGGCAGGAAACGTGTTGCTTCAGCTGCGCTCTGAAAGGAACAGCTGATACAGTTGCAAGGCAGGAGGGGCACGTTCAGACAGCAAGTTGTCAGTGGTAGCTCGGCTGTGGGGCCTAGCGCAACCTGGCATTTCCTGCCGCAGTCACGCATTGTCCGCTGGGGCATGCTGGTGCCCTCCTTGCCTGCTGGCGGCACTCCTTCCCCATATCTTCTGCTGCATGCTTTACCCCAATCCAAATTGGGTGCAGTCGATCCGCCAAAACGCCAAAGGGCTGCCCACACCATTTGACCGACCCCCCTCCTCCGCTGTCGCCACATGTGGAGGGGTCACCTTGGACGAGGCCATCGCGCCCCAGGCCTTCAGCACGGCGTTCCAATGGCTGGGCTCGATGGACGCCAGCGTGCCTCATCTCACGCGCCTAGCTGCCTGCCCACCGGCAGGAGGTGGCAAAAGGAGGTGACAATGGCCAAACCAAAGCACGCCACAGGAGAAACAGCGAGATCACGTGCCAGCTGGAATGCAAAAGGGCTAACCGCCTGGCAAGATGCATTCTATCACCCACCTGTCGCCATGTTGCTTACTGCGGGATGGAGGTGGAAAGGACTTCCTTCCAACGTACCACGGACTAAGCTCCCCGCTCTCGATTTTCTTCACCTGCTCTGGCGTCAAGCCGGCGGAGCTGGCTGCTGCCACCACCTGGTTGTGCAAGGTCGCGTGGTCCGCCTGGAAATGCAACTTCACAAGGGCAAAGCGACGAAGTCTGCTGATGTTTTGGGTGCCCTCCTGAAACCTAGCTGCCATTTATTTGCACATCTTGGCTTGGCCCACTTGGCCTGAGCAACACAGACCCACAAACTGTTCGGTTCCACCAACACATTCACTGGGCCTCACTCAAAATACCACCTCCCCTCCACCCCAACCCCCCCCAACCCCCGCAACCCCCCCACCCCCACCCCCCCCAAACCCCTCCACCGGCCTCCGCCTCCTCGCGGCCCGCCTCCGCCGCCGCGGCCACCGCCGCCGCAGTGGCCGCCTGGTCAGCCTTGTCCAGGCCCGTGGCCGCCGAGGCCGCCACCACCGCCTGGGTCACCGCCGAGCCCGCCACGGCCGCCACGGGCGCCACGGGCGCCAGAGGCGGCGCCACAGGGGCCACCTCATGGCCGTCGGAGACGACAGCTGCGGAGATTCGTCTTGCGAGGTGGTGGTCGTTTTGGTCATGTGTGGTGAGTCAAAAACACATCTGCTTTTGCCAGGTGTTGGTATTTTGCAGGGGGATCACGCAAGGATGTTGTTCTTCGAGGGCCCCCTTGCCGTCTGCAATTCAAATAGGGAGCCTGTGAAGATGCCACGCCAACCAGACAAGGTGCATGCCAAGCCACATCCATAGCGACATCCATGGGTGGCGCGGGCATCACCGGTGCTGTAAACGGCGTGGCCTCTGGCGTGCTCTCCACGGATGCCACGTCCACGGCCGGCACAGGCACGGGTACCGGCTCTGGTGCCGGCGCTGGTGCCGGGGTCACCCGAGCTGCGGGCTCAAAGGGCTTGCTGTCCTTGTCCGGCATGGCTTCGGCAGGCAGCGTGTGGTTGCCCAGGGCCATCGCAGTGAGCCTGAGCTCGAAGGAAGGCTGCGAATGGCAAAGGGGGGACAAAATTCGAATGGCAAGCGGCTGAGACACCACGAAGGGTCCAACCAATGCTCCGCGCTTCTTCGGAGTGTCGTAGTCAGTCTGGCATGCAGGCACGCGTGAATGAAAGCAAGCTAGAATGAGCCGACAAGGGCGAAGGAAACGCGTCATTTCTCAGGTTTCCGATGAGCCATGCCACTGGAGGGGGAGAGGGGACAGCCAGGCACTGCGGCAAAAAATCAAACGCATGCCCAGGTTCCTATTGCTCTCTACGGCCTGCAGCCCTCTCGCTGCTCCAAAAGAAAACAGGAGCACAACGACAACTACCTTTTTTGAGGTGTATGCCCTTGCCTTCACGTTCAGCAAATACCAAGTGCTGCCATCCATAGAGCCTTCCAGCTTGAAGGACGTAGGATCATTGCCAATCTTGGCCTGCCAAGGGCTTGACTGCAGGTAAAACCAACGCTCTCAAGCTCCCAGCACTGAGCTGACCCCGAGTCGTCAGGGCAACAACCTTACCCAAGGCTTCCCGCGCCTCATCTGCGGTGGTCTTGAATCCAAAGCCGCCCACAGAGTGGCCAGGGTTGACCCGAACCACCACCGGCTGATTGAAAGCCAGCGAGGAGCCTATGCGAAACGTCCCACTGGAAGGATGCTGCGGCTATACTTTTTCAGAGGAGTGTTGCCTTATCAGCGCCTCTTGAAGTGGCATCTTTGTCAAGGAGACCATCCGTGTTTGTGGATTCCAACGTCGGGCAACTTGCAAATAGCTGTCCAACCATCTATGGAACTGGGCAGCAAATCTGGCTGAGCTGACTCCGTCATTTCGGGTATCACGCTTTGAGTCATGTCCTACCACTACTTGTTTGGCGCACATACCCATCGACAACCCTTTAACAACTTGACAAAGCCCGCTTGGGTTTTGCCCATGACCGCTCCAAGAAGCTAGTGGAGGCATCATTGTCGATGAGGTTCACAGGGTCGTCCACTGTGGCCTGTCACTTCATCCAGGTAACTCGCGCGGAGCGATTTAACTAGCTGCTGTGGCTGACAATGGCCCGCACTAGAAGTAGAAGTTGTTGCAAAAGCCCAGGGAACACAGCCTGCCTCTTGGCTGCGAATTCTTGGGGTGCCGCAAGCGACCATTTTTGTCTGCACACTCACTCAGGGCGGGCCCGCTCCAGCTGTGCTTGCATGCCATGCATTAGAGCCTCAATCAGCCTGCCATCGTCGATCAAGCGATGCGCAGCCTGGGCTACCGTGAAGGCCGCTACAACGCTGGCGTCCTTCAAGTTCAGCTCCTGCATAGGTCGGAGGCGCCGGGTAGGGAAAGAAAACTAGTGGGTCTGCGCGAAAACAGGGGGTGCCGGGTGCTTTCCTTTGGGCTTCCCTTTATATAAAAGCAGCCCCCAAGATAAGGGTCTCGAAAAACCACACGCCCAAGTTGCCAACTGCCTGCCGCCTGGGAAACAAAGCACCTGGGTTCCACGCTGATAGGTCAAACACCTGGCAATGTTCGGTGCAATGTTCAGCCCGCCTCACCCTTCTGGTCTGACAGGAAGAACTCGGAGATGATGCTGCTGGTTTCACCTGGGGGGGGGGGGGGGGGGCATTTTGGATTCAGTCCGTTGAAGAGAGAAGTCCTGCCCGCCTTTGGAGTCAAATTTTTGGTAGCATCAGCGCAGCCGCCAAAACATGCCATATGTCAGAGATGGTGCGTGCCGTGGAACCACAAACCCCTCAAACGCCTCTTAGTTCTTTGGGCTTCGGGTAAGCACTGTCTGGCCTTCTCGGGTCTTGCTGACGGTGAACTTGTACCTAGCCGCGAAATGAGGCATCGCAAAAGGATGCCGCCTCGCCATGTCGCACGTTGCGCCCATGGTGCGTGGCATCGCAGCATGTCGCAACCCGGCAACATGACAGCTGCCAGGCAAAGTCCACTGCAAACCAAATGTCGGCCAAGCGTCTGTGAGAAGGACACGGGCGCAGCCTAAGGCTGGGGGGCCGGAAAGCAGCAAACTGAAACACGTTCTGCCCCTGCAAGTTTGAGTGCCCTTGCAACCAACCCGAGCATCGCCAGCCAAGTTGCCTTCAGGGACTGGATTGCAACCTTGGTCCCCATGGGCGTAGCCGGACGAGCCCCGAGAGTTTTCCGTCGCAACCCCTGCCACCTGGATGAAGCTTTCATTCCAAAGATGCTGAACGTTACACCTCGCTAGGGTCGTGCCACTGTCCAAGCCCAAGACTGACACGGCCATGGATCAAAAGCCCGTACCCCCACCAAACATCCCAATCCCCATAACATAGGTTCTAAAATGGGCGGTGCACCTACCCCAAAATGGGAGACCATTGGTTTTGACCCACAGCCACACACGGCGCCCTTCGAAAGCTCCCCCGCCGAGCCGCGGTCCGGTGCTCCTTGCGGATCAACTCCCGTCGCGGCTGCTCGGAGACCTGCCCCAGCAGACCAGCAGAAGCGACAGGAGCGAGGGCAGGCGGTCCCAACATGCGGCACCCCAATCGGAAAAAATATATATATATATATATATATATATATATATATATACAATTATGTATAATAATAACAATAATAATAAAACTGCGGCCCAACAAAGCGTGAAACTCATCACCCCGCACAGTGTGGCTTGGAAATGCCAGCGGTAGAAAGGCACGTCTCAAGCCACAAATCTGCAGGAAGAAGATGTTGAGTTCTTGCGGGTAGGCGGCGCTGGCTTGCAACGTGCCACCTAAACTACCCGTGATGATCCATGAGGGCACAACGACAAGGGGGAAAGGGTCGCTCGGCACAGGACATGATCTGGACATGAATCAATATGGCCATGTGTCAAAATCCCGAGTGAACATCCCAATCCCCACTAACATAGACAAAAATGGGTGGTGCACCTACCCCACAATGTTAACATTTGGTGGCGAACTCTGACTTCACCTGATGAGGGCCGCTTGTCACCCGCCTTGGCCTGACCCTGGACATTGCCACTGCCTGGGAAATGGGAGGACGAGCCAAGAGTATCCACAGCTGTCCTTGAAATGTGTCTGTTCAGCCCGCAACGGTAGGGATGACATTCCAAATGCTAGGCTAGGGTGGTCTCACATTGCCATAACTGGTTCATGGTTCTTGCCCTGCTGGCCAAGCAGCGAAGCAGGTACGGCCCGGCCCCTAAAGCCTACCAAAGCACCCCGGGAACCAGGGAGCTACGCATTTCAGGGCCCAGGCCTGCCGCAACAAGGCGGAAGCCTATCAGACCTTGGGTGGGGCGGGTGCGCGCAGATTCGATTCGGCGATTTGTCTACTTGTGCGCTCCTGGCTGGCCTGCGGCTTGGGGATGAACGGTTCCAAAATGGGGCTACCTCCTCCTCTGAGGCAGGGACACATGAAGGTCAGCATTCGCAAATGACAAGTCTGCCTCAGTCAAATGCTGGATGATTGGTGCAGGATTGCATGGTCCTCACTCCGATGAGCTGATGCTGGGTGGCAGAAGCGGCTGAGGCAGCTACGCCATCACTTCAGGCGATCAGGTAAGCAACGCTGCCAACCCAGCGGGGAGGCAACGAAAAGGCGTATGCATGTAGTTCACTTGAGCATAGCAGCAACGGCCAGGACAGCCAGAACTCCTCAACTCCTCAACTCCTCAACCTCTCAACCTCTCAACCTCTCAACCTCTCAACCTCTCAACCTCTCAACTTGCGTGGCACCTCACAGAGCGGCGATTGTCGCGATATTGGAAAGCAAAGGGGCTAGTCTATGGATACGGCGACTGCCTACAAATTGGTTCCGGGGAACTTCAGTCAAGGGTGTGGCTTCCTCCACTGCACCTCTGACGCCCCCACCCTGAGGCGCTCGGCTTGGGAGGGCGCCAGTCCTCAGCGGGGCCAGATCAACTTGGGGGCTATGTATGGGTCAAAATGAAACCACCAGCGGACCGCAGGTTTTGGTCCATGTTTCCACTTACTAGGGTTCCATTTGCGGTACCTATTTTTGACCCACAGCCAGGTGGAAGAAGGGTGGAGTTTGCGCCGACACAGAGCCAACCCCTCCGCCAAGAAGCCCTAAGGCTTCTAGGATTGGGCGGGAACTGCCCCACAATTCATGGGGGGAGACTTGCGCATTCCCTCGGAATCCTTGCCAAGGCCTGGCACAACTCAGAGTCGGGATGCGACGACCTGCTCTGTTTGGCGCTGACGGGGTGCTTGTGGAGTAACTCTCCTGCCTGAGCGATCCAAGACCCAGGGAGTTGAAGACATTGACTTCTGGCTGCCCTGGCTCTGGGTTAAATCATCCAAGACTTAAAGATGTCCGCCCGCTTAAAAGTTCGGGCAGATCTGCCACCACTTTTGTGTGGCCTTGCTGGCAGGCCCGTCTGTGCACAGGGCAAGTGCCTGCAAGATGCAAAATCGCCGCTGCCGTCCGCATGTGGCAGACTCTCAGCGGCCAAAACGAAGCCCATGCCAGCTACAGACAAGTGCTGGCTCCTGGCATGGTGATTAAATGTCTACAAGCATTGCAAATGAACAAACTGCACAAAGCGCTGTCTCGCTTTGCGCAAAGATGCGAAACGCACCTTGGGGCGCACTCGTGGCTCACCAGGGGCCGAAGGTGGGCTGCAGTGGCTTGGCCGCCTTGGTGGATGGCTGCAGCGCCTTCTCGCCCCGCAGCTTCAGGGCCGCTTGCGCCGCCGCCAGCCGCGCCACGGGCACCCGGAATGGCGAGCAGCTCACGTAGTCCAGGCCCACCTGAACCCGCACACAGGGCATTGCTTATTCGATCACATGTCAGGTCGAGCCTGAGGTTTCCGGGGAGCTAGCGGGAAGTATGGAAACCATGCGCCTTGTTGAAGAATTCGATGGAGGCCGGGTCGCCGCCGTGCTCGCCGCAAATGCCCATCTTCATGCCGTCTCGGGCTGTGCGGCCGCGCTCCACGGCCACCTTGATCAGCTCGCCGACACCCTCCTGGTCGAGACTCACAAAGGGGTCCTGCTCCACGATACCCTTGGCCTTGTACTCGGGCAGAAAGGCGCCTGCGTCGTCCCGGCTCAGGCCGTAGGTGGTCTGCGTCAAGTCATTGGTGCCAAAACTGAAGAACTCAGCCTGCTCGGCCAACTTGCCTGCTTGCAAGCAGGCCCGAGGCAGCTCGATCATGGTGCCCACACGGTAAGTGAAGTTCATGCCTTGCTCCTTCTGCACAGCTGCGGCAGTCTTCTCCACCACCTCCTTCAAAATGCTCAGCTCCTGCAGGGTGGCCACCAGCGGCACCATGACCTCAGCCACCGGCACGGCGCCGCCGGCCTTGCCCACGGCGGCCGCAGCCTCGAAGATGGCCCGCGCCTGCATCTCGCAGATCTCGGGGTAGGTGATGGCCAGGCGGCAGCCCCGGTGGCCCAACATGGGATTCGCCTCTTGCAGCTCCGTGGCGCGGCGCCGCACCCGGTTCAGCGGCACCCCGGCGGCCTTGGCCACCTGCGCCATCTCGGCCTCAGTGTGGGGGATGAACTCATGCAGCGGCGGGTCCAGCAGCCGCACCGTCACCGGGCGCCCGTCCATGATCCGGAACAGCTCCGTGATGTCCTCGCGCTGCATGGTCAACAGCTCCTTCAGTGCAGCCTTCCGGTCCCCCTCGTCTGCCGCCAAGATCATTCTTCTCATTGAGATGATACGCCCACCGTCGAAGAACATGTGCTCCGTGCGCACCAGGCCAATGCCCTGCGCCCCGAACTCCTTGGCCTGACGGGCGTCGTTGGGCGTCTCCGCATTCGCTCGCACCTGCAGCGTGCGGTACTCATCCGCCCATGCCATGATGGTGCCAAAGGCACCCGACATCTGCGGCGGCACTGTGGGCACCTCCCCAAGGATCACCTCCCCGGTGACACCATCGATGGTGAGGATCTGGCCCTCCTGCACTGTCACGGGCCCCACGCTGAGCCGGGCTGCCGCATAGTCCACCTGCACGGCACCCGCCCCGGCCACGCAGGGCCGACCCATGCCCCGCGCCACCACAGCTGCATGGCTGGTCATGCCGCCCCGGGTGGTCAGGACACCCTCTGCTGCGTGCAGGCCGTGGATGTCGTCCGGGCTGGTCTCGATCCGCACCAGCAGCACCTTCTCACCATCCTTGGCCCGGCGGACTGCCTGGGCACAATGCACGGCGGAGGCCCAGAAGTGACACAGGCATCAACAAGCCTTGCCTCGTCAGCGGTGAAGACAACCTTCCCTGCTGCTGCACCAGGGGAAGCTGGGAGGCCCTGAGCACATCAAAGCGCTATCCAAAGCGCTATCCAAAGCGACCCAAGCCGACCCAACGCCATACCAATCACATCAGCCCGTGCAAACACTGCCAGCGACCTCCAACCGCGATCGAGTAAATCATTCAGTCGGCCCGCCTTGGCGATGACCTGCTTCTTGGCCTTTGGGTCCAAAGTGGGGTGAAGCAGCTGGTCGATGAGCTCGGGTTTCAAGCGCATCAAAGCCTGCGACTTGGAGATGAGACCTGCGCAGAGCAGAAGTAAGCATCCTGCTCTAACAAATGCAATGTCAGCACCTTGCAAAGTCGGATCAGGTAAGCTACTCAATGACATCAGGGCAAGTGTTGATCAAACCTCGTAAACGCCTTGTAAGAGGTTATAAGTAGAGGATCAGATAGGCCATTACAACCCGGAACGGATTGGGATAATAGCTGCGAGTCGGTCCCTCCATTGTCTTGTCAGGTAACCCTCGTGAGAGCACACTTTCCGTCTTCCTGCCCTTCAAAAATAGATGAGGAACAATGAATCTGCTGACAAGGATGCGCATGCCTCGATCTTCCCAGATTCGACATTGCTCGTAGTTTTCTTCTCCCGTTAGTGGGGGGTCGTTTTATATTCATCTTTTCAAGCGCACTGGACACAGGGGGGTACTAATCCTCGTTCACTAATGGAAGAAAACTCGCGTGTTCTTCGTTGAGAACATTACAGTTTTCGAGTGAAGAGTAGAAAGCTTCAAACGCCAAGCAAAGTCCGTGACCTTCGTCGGGCCGCCCATATAGCTGCATGGCATCTGAGAAAGCACTCGACCTGTCGGTCAACTTAGAAAGGTGTTCTCCACCTTGGCCGGGAAGGGCTTTTGTATGCTTTAGCCAGCGTACGTACAGTATGAATGTCATGGCCTTCGTTGGCCATGTCCACAGCGATTTGCAGCGCTGCGTGTGCGGTCCGCTTGCCAGTGCGCGTCTGCAGCATGTAGAGCTTGTTTTGCTGGATGGTGAATTCAATGTCCTGCGCTGGCTTCAAAACATCAAACGTGCGAAACAAATAAGATTGTCAGAATCAGTTAGCAGCTGCCAAAAGAAGTCACAGAACGCCAGTTTGTTCTCAGCTCATTAGCAGGCTTTGACGCCCGGCTTTGAGACCATCAGCCTTGCCAGCCTGTCATGCTAGCTTGTCCCCTCGTCCTGCATGTCTTTGTAGTGAGTCTCCAGTTGCTGGCGCACGGTGCAAAGCTCGCGGAAGATGTTGGGCATCACTTCTTCCAGGCTTGGCAAGTCGGATCCATGAGACTTGCGGGCCTTGATGGTCAGCTCCTGTGGGGTCCGGATGCCAGCCACCACATCTTCGCCTTGGGCATTCACCAGGAACTCGCCGTAGAAGTCGTTGGTGCCGTTGGAGGGGTTGCGGGTAAAGGCAACGCCGGTGGCACAGTCGCTGCCCATGTTCCCGAAGACCATTGCCTGCACGTTCACCGCAGTGCCCCAAGCCTCCGGGATGTCGTGCAGCTGCCGGTAGGTCTTAGCACGTTGGTTCATCCAAGAATTGAAAACGGCTCCGATGGCGCCCCAGAGCTGCTCGTGAGGGCCCTCGGGGAAGTCCATGCCGATCTCCACATGCACTCGGGCTTTGTAGTCCATCACCAGGTTCTCCAAATCTTCCGCCAGCAGCTCGTGGTCCTGCTTCACGCCCCGGCGCTGCTTCGCGCGCTCCAGGAGCTTCTCGAAGTGGCTGAGCTCGATGCCCAGCACCACATCCGAGTACATCTGCACGAAGCGTCGGTAGCTGTCGTAGGCAAAGCGCCGGTCCCCAGACCGCTCGGCCAAGGCCGCCACCGTCTGGTCGTTGAGACCCAGGTTCAGCACCGTGTCCATCATGCCTGGCATGGACGCTCGAGCGCCCGAGCGCACCGACACCAGCAGAGGATTGGTCGCATCTCCGAACTTCTGGCCCGAGCGCTCCTCCACCAGCGCCAGGGCTTTCGCCACCTGGCCCTTCAACTCCGCCGGGTACGTGCACTTGTCCTCGTAGAAGCGGGTGCACACCTCCGTGGTCAAGGTGAAGCCAGGCGGCACCGGGAGGCCGATGCTCGCCATCTCCGCCAAGTTCGCGCCCTTGCCGCCCAACAGGTTCTTCATCTCCGCACGGCCGTCTGCCGCACCGGCACCGAAGTTGTAGACCCACTGCACCATGGCGGCGATGCAAAGGACGGGCTTGGGAGTCGAGTCACAATGTCAGCTTCGAGCTACAAAAGGCTGCAAACTGTGCCAATCCCGACCGTAGAGGGCCACTGGATGTCCCAGACAATGCCGAGACTGTTGTGCAAGGATGACTGTTCGCTTACCAACGTCATCCGTTTGAAGATCGGCAGATCTTTGCCCTCTACTGCTGGCGCTAAAACATCCGCAGTGACGTGAAGGCACATCGAATCAATGGCTTCTACTGAACCAAAAGGGTTGGGTGAGAGGCAGAATGCCAAAATGATGATTCCCAAACAGTGGCGGCCTCCTATCCTCACATCCGAGAGCCGCATTTTCTCGCGCTCTCTCGCGGCCGCGCGGCCGAGCAACCGAAACGCCCACGGTGCCGGAGCCAGCAGCCAGCTGCCCGCGCGGGAGGAAACCACACCGCACGGGTAAAATGTGGCAAACTTAGGCGCCAACAAGGAAACATGAAGACGACAGGGAGGTTTTGGGGGAGATACTTCAACTTCCGGGCCCAAAGAAACTACTGGCATGATTTCGGACAACGGGCTACGGAGGGCCAAGGGAGGATCTTTCCAAAACCATGCACATGGAAACTTTCAAGGTGAGCATGTTCTGGCCATTCCCCTCGCCTGAGACGCCACTACTGCTCACTGTCTTCAGGGCGGGCAAACACCAGTGCAGAAATCTCAACAGGTCTCTCCCACCCTTGGATCAACACATGCCTGCCGTGCATGTTCCTGAAGCGCCCCCCAAAAGCCAGGCAGTATTCAAATGCATATGCCCTGCTTTTAGCGTGCGGCTCCCTTCACTGACCCTCCTCCTCAGCTTGGTGGTATTCAAGATACATCTCCTGCATGCAGGCCATCTCAGAAGATTGCCAGCTCCCCTTACTCTCTTTTTCCGTCCTGGTTGATGTACCAGGTGGTGATGGCACACCGTTCGCCTCAAAGAACAAAACTGAGTCCACAATTGTACCGTATCGCAGTCGGCGGTGAATTGATCTTCCCAGGCAAAAACATGGCTACGCAATAAAAGCTCGCCCAGTGCGAAGCAAACTCCGCCATGCCGAGGTGCTGAAGCCAGCGGATGATCAGCTGAGCACGTAACATGACAACTTGCCCTGAGGAGAAGCAGGCGACTGCCGCCAAAGGCGCGGCGGCAGCGTCGAACCTCGTGCGGAACGGAAGAGTCGCTGAAGAAAACGACGAGGCCTCAGGCAAGAAGACTCAAGTGAGTGACCTGATTTGAATATCTCCTCTGCGCTGCTCTGCTAACAACCGGCATCCGCGTGCATAGGTCGGATGACTCTTAATGCATTTGTCAAACCATGTCAAGTACATGATGGCTCTGCATGCCCGCCCCCTCTTCTCTCCACCCCCTTCTTTTTTGCCAAGGATCGGTTCATCTTGGGAGCGACGTCTGCTTTGATCCGCCGTTGATCAGGTTCAAACCTCAGTCAAACAAACAATGCAGGAAAGCACTGCGACTGCATCTGCGTGCACGCACCATCGCCGCAAGTGAACCACACCTACGTTCTAATTGCAGCCATTCAATGAATGGCCCGCAATAGATTAAATTGAACAATTAACGCCAACACAACTTGTGCATTGTGCTTGATTGCTGGACCATAGTTTGCAGCAAAGGCTTGGCACCCTGCTTAGGTCGCTCCATGCATCCCCTCCAAAACGACGTGCTGCGTGTGCATCCCCACGTATGTGCGTTTCCCCCCACCGTGCAGTTGAGCTTCAGCCGAATCTCTCCACCATCACGCTCATCCCAGTCTTCGTTCAGGTAGAAGGTGCAGGTCAGCAATCCTAAAGTTGCAGCGTCTCTCTCCGCTCCTGTCCAATACCTCGCCTCTGACTCCCCACATGGCTCAGAGGCCCCTTTTGGGCCTTTCTGCTAAGCTGCGACCATTGAGGCCATCTTCGTTGTCCACATGGCGGATGTACCTGGCATCATCCTTAGCGCAAATGCCGGCAGCGCGTTATTGCACCAACAGACCCTCACGAATCACGAGGCGTCGTGCAGTGTGCTGGCCGCTTCGGGGTTGGACGATCTCAAGATACCATGGCACACATCAAAATCCACCGTCGGCCTAGCCACAACCTTTAACCATCCAACTTGGCCTGCGAGGCCTGCAACGTGTTCTGGAAAGATCAACATCTGGGCCCTTAGGCACATAACTCGGCCAGAAAAAAGAAATCACGCGGCTCACACAGGCAAATGCACCCAATGAAGCTCGTTTCCTCTGGCCATCGGCCCAGCGGCGTTCTCGGCGCTGCCAGGAAAGCTCGCAAACTGTGAATTCGACAGGGCGGTGATTTGCTGCGCCCTCGCCTGGATGCTGTCCTGCCACAAGCAAAGCCCTCTGACTCAGGCGCTTTTGCCTGTGTCCAAACAACAGGATCCTCACCAGGAAATGCCTAGACAACAAAATGCAACCGACCACCCTTCATTCTATATTCCGCCGCTTGCAAGGAGCGATTCAGTACTCCTGCCATCCAACCACCCCTAAACCCTAGGTGAGCCCAGCACCTTTCATGACCCAAAACCGCTGATCCAACACTGTTTAAAGGCATGAAGCAAAACCTCCTGCCAAAAGTCTACAACCCCGGAGCACCAGCCGTTGCAAACTTTCATACCTCTGCAATGCCAAAAAAAACCCACACCGATCCTAAATCAAGGCTCGGTGGCAGCCTCTCGCAAGCAAAGCTACACCCCGCAAAAACCCTCCAACTGCCAAGCTCGGCTTGAGCCAAAAAAAACAGCCAGCCTGCCTGAGGCCTCTGGCAGGGGCCTAATAGATGGGTGAATCCGAGACAATCCGAGATCGCAGCTACCATTGCCTGAGGAAGCTCCATCATGAGGGTCACCAGCGCATTGTTGAACTCCACCAGCCGGCCTTGTGGCCGGAGTGGCCGGTTTCGACGCCCCATGGGTTTCCCTTTTTCGGCACACCCAACGGCTTCCCAAGTTCCATGGCGGAAGTCCCCGCTTGCGCTTGTGCGGTCATGTAGATTCAGTATGTTCGCCAGTCGAGATCTGAATCTCGTCATGCGAAGGCCTTTGCTCTTCAAGGTTGCGATCAAGCTGCCCATCTCAGGTGCGTCCGGGTGCAGCCACAGGACCCTTGGCAGCGCAACTGCTCAGCCGAGTCCAGCGAAATCTGAGCTCTTGCGATCGATGCTGCCAAGTATCATGTCGCCGCGTCCTGCGGGCGCTGTTTGTTCCGTCGCAACGGCCAATGTGTTTGATGCGCTCTTGGGTGGACATCATCTCGTGTGTGTGTGGGTGAAAATTAAACCACAGGGGACCGCAGATTTTAAGGCATGCTTCCATTTGCCGGGGTTCCATTTGGGTACCCATGTTTGACCCACAGCCATGTGGCGATTTATGTCAAGCCCCAGGACCAGGTAAACGAGTCAACACAACGGGACAAGGCGTTTTCCATGCCTGCGGCCGAAAGCTCAGAGTCTGTCTTGCCTGCAAGGGCCAAGTTTGCACATCAGGAGGATGAAAAAACAAGCCCATGACCGGCGAACATTTGCAAGGCACCATAGCCCCGCATGAAGTCCATGGAATTGCCGCCATTGAAAAAACTGGGCTCGGTTTGGACCAAGTTCGCAATATCCACCCCGATCGCTCCTCTATGCCTTGTTTGTCACCTTCGGCTTGACCATTCTTCATCCCCTTCGGTTGGAGCATGGCCATGAACAATGCCCGTGCCTGGCTCCATCTTGGGCTGCATGCTCCGCATAGCCTTTGCCAGGCTGGCGGCATCTTCCGCTGGCAGGAAGTCATCCTCCGGCTTTCGCAGGGGAAATCGGGGCGTTGCTGGGAGGCTGCGCCAACACGCCGCACCAAGATCACCGCTGCGCGTTGTGTCCCTTGTTGCCGGTTGCCTAGGCAACCAGCGTATTCTGCTCTGCTGGCTTGAGCATCCTGCTTAATCCGGGCTCAACCGGGGAATGCTGCATGCTAAGTTGCAGAAGCCTCCGGATCCAGTGAGCAGCGGGCAAAAACAGTTGACTTTGGCTCTGCAAACTTTGCTACAAAGGTTTGCAAAGAACACGCACGACAATCTGTCAAACGAGAGTCAAACCCCTGAATCGCTTAACACGTATCTGAGGCGTAGCGCGCGAACCGAGAAGCCCAGCACCATCACACGCATGTATGCTTGCCTGTAGCCGAGGCAGGACTTCAAGGAATGTCCTGTGACTGTTCATCCATCAAGCATCCGTGCGTTCCCCCCATACAAGAATTTCTCATTGCTACGCCCAGCCCAGAGACCCCCAGCGCTGCCGCGACTAAACTCACAATGTTATCCTAAAACAAGCTGGTACAATGCCTGGGGTGGCCATTCAAATTACTTTCCGATGAAACTTGACTGTGCCCAATTGCCCCATACAATCGGCCCCATGAATCTCCAATGAATTCCAATGGAAGTCCGATGAATGTCCAGTAAAATTCCAGGACAATTCCCGTGAAACTCCAATCCATGGGGAAGCCTGCCATCTCAGCCCCTTCAATCCAGGCCAAATGGAACATCTGAAGTAGGCCTTGATGCTTTTCTAAGACCAGGCATGTAGGCATGCGTCTGGCCAGCACACGTACCAAAACCAACCAGCGTCAGGCGGGGTCTACCAGACCACGCCAAGCCATCGCCAAACCGGCGCTCCAGCACCATGAAGCTTTCCCGCGCTAAGGCCTGGCAAAACATCAAGCGTGGGACTACAATGTGGAGCCCCGCACCAACCGCGTTGAAAGCAAACCGATATGGTTCGATCATCTTTCTGCATGAAAAACGTGTTGAATCTGTGGCGTCCAATAGGTCCAATCCTTCAAAAAAGGGGACCCCAAGAACCGGTCCACGCTACTAAACAAAGGCACCGGTCCAAGAGGCGACCACGCCTGACACGCGCTGGACCCCAAACATCGCCCTGAACCACCCGGCCTGCCCCCAGGTTGACACAGCTTCCGGAGTCGCCCACCACACCTCGGCCGCACATGCCGCCCCTCCATGGGTATTGCATCCACGTAAGGCACCGTGGACAAGGCCCAAAAGCACCCAACCCCATGGCATCCGTTCGAGGCTGCGGCGCCGGCCCCAGAAGCATCAAACTTCTCTCGGAACTGGGCCAAAGGTGCGAAAAGGGTATCCTGGCGCGCCAGGATAGCAAACTTTGAGGCGTCCAAATGGCATGCGGGTTCTGGCAAGGTGGTGGCTCACCCAAGCGGCCAGGAAATGCAAGTGGTGCCGGTGGCTGCGGGCCGTGGGGCTGGGAAGCTTGTCACCAGGCGCCTGCCGCCTCCGTGCCCCGACACTTCCGGGGCGGCATCAAATGTTTCGGTGTTACAGGAGGGCGATCCTAAAAAGCAAGATGTTGGGAAAAAGAGAAGGAAACCTACCTCAGCCTTTGCCTTGGCTTCCCATCCCGTCCTGAAGACGCTGACGAGTCTCCTCGCTGGGCGGTTTCACTGATCTCCTGCGGCAATCCCCACATCCACTGGCTGTGCATATGTGCGCGACACGCCACACCGGTGAGCAGAAGCCCCCGTGCATAAACCAATGGCAATTTCAGGTATAGGGGACCGGGAGAAACAAAGAACATGAAGGAACCCATTTATCAGCAGGATAACATATTTACCGTACTTGAAAAGGCATTCGAGCATAAGAAGCTTCCAGGTTGATTAGGAGCACTGCGTGGAACTTGAGAATGGCAAGCCGAATGCTGCCACCGCCCGCTCGCAAAAGCTTTGTGGAAGATGGTTGTGCGGTCCTTGAGCCCCTTCTCTATGCAAACACTCTTTCAAGGCATTCATGGCCCCTCCGAAGCTTGCGAACCAGGAATGTCAAAATGGAAAGTAGCAGGCACCAAAATATGCGCACGTGGCAACCCGGCCCGGAAAGGGCCGGAGTGGAAGCCCTTACCATGCCGAACCACCTTTCCCAGAATCTTAACTCACATGAGGAGCGGGTGAACGAAAGCTAGCAGTTGTTGCATGAGATGGGTCGGTGACAGAGTGGATTCATAGGTAGCTTGTGTACAACGAGAGGCCCGGCAAGATTCGTAGGATGCGACACGCAAACGCACATGGTGGCGTGGCAAACCTTGAAACATGAAAACAACAAGAGGCGTCAGAAGCTGTCTTAAAGCACCTCTGGGTTCTGCATGCTGCGTGTGCAAAGATTCTTGCGAGGTGGTTTACTGAGAAGACTGAGGTCTCAAATGAACAAGCTGAATCGGTGGAACATGTAGAAGTTCGTAGCACCAAGTCCAAAACGGGCAAACCGAGACTGCTGAAACACTGAGCCACTGCCCGGGGAGAGAGGTGGACCAAGGAGGAATCGAGCCTGAGACGGGGGGAGGGGGGGCGGGTCTAAATAATTGATATGTTTCAATCTTTTCGGCTCAAATAATTGAAAAAATCAATCTTTCGGCAGTTGAGCCCCTTACCTTGCTTGCGCAAGGAGAAACTTCAGCTAGCTAAAGCTAGCTTTCGTGATGATGCAAATCTCAAGCCTCGGAGGCTTGATTGCAGCACTTCGTGACTTATGTGAGCCCTTTTGATGGATTGGATGTCAAACGGCTGCGCTTTCCTCACATCTTCCGAGTCAAAGGCTAGTTGCAGACATGGCACCAGTACTCCAATTCATACCTCAGCAATGAACGCGAACACTGATCCCATGCCGAGAGGAGAATTATCAAGGGGACCCAGTAAATTCTTCCAAGCGCTTCTCAAGACAAGCAGCTGCAGCATCCACTTCTCGCGCTCACCATGCTTCAGGACTTCTCCCGTCGGTAGGCACAGGAAGACTGGCCCTGCCTGAGAGCAGCGGCAAAGAGTCAAGGAACGAGAAAGCTACTCACACACATGCCCATTGGGTTGCACGGGCGGGCACAATCAAGCACACCCCACCCACCCTGCCCACCGCCCACCCACACATGCACGCACCCATAGCAAGCAAGCAAGCAAGCAAGCAAGCAAGCAAGCAAGCAAGCAAGCAAGCAAGCAAGCAAGCAAGCAAGCAAGCAAGCAAGCAAGCAAGCAAGCAAGCAAGCAAGCAAGCAAGCAAGCAAGCAAGCAAGCAAGCAAGCAAGCAAGCAAGCAAGCAAGCAAGCAAGCAAGCAAGCAAGCAAGCAAGCAAGCAAGCAAGCAAGCAAGCAAGCAAGCAAGCAAGCAAGCAAGCAAGCAAGCAAGCAAGCAAGCAAGCAAGCAAGCAAGCAAGCAAGCAAGCAAGCAAGCAAGCAAGCAAGCAAGCAAGCAAGCAAGCACGTGTGCGTGTGTCTATCTATCTATCTACCGACCTATTCTATCTACCTACCTATTCTAAATATCCTACCTTCTCCAGCTTTCCTATTTATCTCATCGTGTGTAGCTTCTGCATCGTTTCTAGCATATCTATCTGATGTATCGTATGTCTTATCTACCTTGTCTACCTTATCTATCATGTTTATCCAATTTGCCTTATCTACCTTGTCTACCTTACCTACCTCTATAGTATCCTGTCTTAGCTTCCTTAGCGTATATTATTCTATAATATGTTATCTTATCATGTCTTGTCTTGTCCTACCTTACCCCATGTTGGCCAATCTTTCCGTGTCCTATCCTATATGTTGTAGCGTATCTTATCCTATGTATATATATATATTTACCTCTCTATCTATTCATCCACATCAATATATATATATATATATGTATATATATATAATCATATGTTAGCCGTTCTTCATCCTATCATATCCTGCCTTATGCTGTCCTATCCTGTCTTATGCTATCTTACCATATATTCTCCCGACTTATCCTAGCGTATCCTACCTTATCCTATGCATCTATCTATCTATCTATCTATCTTATCCCATGTATCTATCTACATATCCATTTATCTATCTATCTATCTACCTAGACACCTACCTATCTATCCTATCTATCATGTTTATCATGTCTATCCTATCTTTCCTATTTGTCCTATCTGTCGCATCGTATCTGTCTCACTATCTTGTTCCATCTTATCTACATGATCTATATTATATGCCTTATTTACCTTGACTATCATACCTATCATATCTATACTATCTATCTCATCTATCTTGCCTACCTTATCTTATCTTATCAAACATTGTCCTGTCTTATCTTCTATCTTATCCTGTCGTTTCCTGTCTTATCCTATCTTCTCCCATGCTATGTATCTATCGATTCATCTATCTATCCCTCTATCTAATCTAATCTAATCAAATCAAATCTAATTTATCTATCTATCTATCTATCTATCTACCTACTTATTTTATTTCTATGACCGCTGGGGCTCAAAACACAAGGCCAGTAGGCATACTAACAACGGAAACTCGCAGCGAACACCTGCGAACATTGCGAAACGCGAAAAGCGCGAAACCGCGAAAACCGTGAAAACCGCGAACGAAAACCACGAAAACGCGAACATCAGAAAACGCGAAAACCACGAAAACCACGAAAACCACGAAAACCACGAAAACCACGAAAACCACGAAAAAAACGAAAACCGCGAAAAGGCGAAAACCACGAAAACGCGAAAACCAGAAAACGCGAAAAACGCGAAAACCGCAAAACCGCGAAAACCGCGAAAACGCGAAAACCGCGAAAACGCGAAAACCGCGAAAACTGCGAAAACTGCGAAAAACACGAAACCCGCGAAAACCACGAAAACGCGACAACCAGGTGAAAACCACGAAAACGCAAAAACCGTGAAACGCCAACATGGGAGAAAGGTGAAAAGGCGCAAGCTTCAAGAACAAAGGCGAACGCCTTGAGAGCCAGCAACGGAGCTGTCTGGTTTTCTGGTTTTCCAGGTTTTCCAGGTTTTCTCGGTTTTCTCGATTTTCTTGGTTTTCCGATTTTCTCGGTTTTCTCGGTTTTCCTGTTTTCTCGGTTTTCTCGGTTTTCCAGTTTTCTCGATTTTCCAGTTTTCTCGGTTTTCCGGTTTTCTTAGTTTTCTCGGTTTTCCTGTTTTCTCGCGCGAATCCGGTTAGCTCCGTGTCGCTCAAAACAATTGCTTAGTATCTATCCATCTATCTAATGTGCTTGTTTAGTATATAGCTATTCATTTGTTTATGTCTTCATTTAGTTGATTGGTTATTGATTTCTGCGCTTTGTAGTTGTGTATTTATTTGTTCAAATCGGTTTATCCTGTTTACGTATTCATCTTTATGATATGTGTATAGAAACAGGTTTTGTGTGCCATGCAGGTGCCCATGCGTATGTACATACTGTTTCATGCATTAATATTATAATGTGCATGCATTTAGACATGCATATGTACAATGGATTATGCATGTAAATAAACATCTACATGCATATGTATATATATAGATTTAGATGTGTATGTATAGATATATATATATGGTCACCCCCCCCTGCATGACCTACCGTTGTCTTTCAAAAAGTCGTTGGGGACCATTAGCAGACAATAAAAAAGTGAAAAAACACCTGTTTTTTATGGTTTTCGATTAAAAAACAACACAGTCAACCATTGAAAAATTAAGAAAAACCAGTGTGGTTTGATGGTTTTAGCAAAAAATGTGCAAAAACCCATGTTGTTTTTAGAAAAAACAGGAAAGCATTCAAAAAAACAAGTGTAAAAACTGATATGTTTTTCAGATAGATCCCTAAGTCAAAAACTAAGAATTCCCTAGGTTTTTGATGGTTTTGCAGTAAAACCTTCAGAATTCCTTGGGATTTTAGCATTTTTCACATAAAACCAAGAAAACCTCGAGAAAACCAAGAATCCAAGAATCCAAGATTTTCAGGTAGATGTTTGGTCCACTACAAAATCTTGGATTCTTGGTTTTCTCGAGGTTTTCTTGGTTTTCTTGCTTTTACTTGGGAATTACTAGGGTTTGTTTGGATTTCCAGCAAAAAACCAAGAATTACTAGGGTTTTTTTGGATTTCCAGCAAAAAACCAAGATTTACTAGGGTTTGTTTGGATTTCCAGCAAAAAACCAAGAATTACTAGGGTTTTTTTGGATTTCCAGCAAAAAACCAAGATTTACTAGGGTTTTTTTGGATTTCCAGGAATTTCGAGAAAACCAAGAATCCAAGAAGACAACCAAGAATTTTACTTGGGAAGATTTCCAGCAAAAAAACAAGAATCACTAGGGTTTTTTTGGATTTCCAGCAAAAAACCAAGAATTCCCAAGTAAAACAAGGAAAACCAAGAAAACCTCGAGAAAACCAAGAATCCAAGATTTTGTCGTGGGCCAGACATCTAACACAACAGAAATACCAGCACCAACTGAAGACGAAGAAGAAGAACCACAAAAAGATAATTTTGAAAAATTGAAATCTTAATAATAGCATATATAATGGGTGTTGGTAAAAGTAAAAATAATGAAAATAATAGTTTGGAAGACATTAAGAATTTAAGTATAGAGAAAAAACACGAGCAGACACTTTAATTACTAAATCTCTTCAAGAATGTGTGACACGAATTGAGACACTAGAGAAAGAAAAATCTGACAAATTAATATATAAACTTCCTGCCTTACAATTTTGCAATGCTTCGTTAATTTAAATTAATAATATTAACATATAATAATATTATTGATTGCTATCATAATCTGTCATTTTATCCTCTGGTATTGTTGTTGAAGTAGTACTACTTATATCATCTATTAAATCTTCTTCATCAACAAAATTATTTTGACATCTTAATAATTCCTCGTCTGTTGCCCTTCTTTTCAATACTTTATAAAGTTTATGTATCCAAGAATTAGTATGAAAATTACAATTACCTCTACGATAAAATCCACCACATCTACATAGTTTCATTGGCATATTACTATATTATATTAAATTAGAATATCTTTATTCATCATTCGTAATTTGAAATGCCTGTTCAAATCTGATATGAAACATTTTGTTAATGTCTTTAGCATTCATATTCACGTAGAAGAAACTATAAGGTGCGTCATTAACGGCTTGATGATACATATCTAATAATTGCTGTTTATCAACAATGGCGCTATTTTCTTCAATAAAACTCATTAACTCACTTGCATTTTTCAACCTAATGAACTGGCATTTAAACGAATGATAGGCACTAAAACATTATATTTTGTGTTGAACAAATTACACTTACTGCATCGTGCCTGCCTCTTGTAAAAGTCCGTGTAATAATTTACTATATCTAACAAATTTAGGATCGTCTGCGTGGTCATCCACAACGATGAATATTGAATGCGTGGTCATCTATAACGATTAATATTGAATGTAGTTTCTTTATCTTTTTAGACTTCATATAATTAATTATTTTCTTCTGTCTTTCAATTACATTTTCTAAATCACTTGGATTATAATTATCAAAATCAATTTGTTCTTTTTCATCATCCACGTGCAATTCATCCCTGATGTATTGTTTAACTTCTGTAAAAGTTGGGTCATTATGAACGCTGGGGGAAAATATAAATATTCTTGCAAATGAATTTCTATAAACATTCAAGATAAGGTTTTGGACTAAAACTGTTTTGCCTCCCGTCGATGAAGCAACTATAATACTTCTAATTGGTAATTTTAGCACGTGCTCATATTTGGATTGTTTGAATTCATATTCAGTTATGTTTATTGGTTTTATTATTGGGACATCTGTCATAGTTGATATTAAAGAAATATAGAAAATTATATTTAAAAAAAAACTTGTCATTAATATTAAATGGAACATCATTATGTTATGAGTGGCGGTGAATAACATAATGGAACAGGTTTTCCATTGCTTCAATCAATAAGCATTGAAGATAATTAGTTTTGTGTTTTGCTCGCGTGTGCAATGAAAACCAAGTGCTGTGCCCCACCAATAGCGATGAAGGGAGGGGCAAATGATAGATGAGATCCTGCTTTTTTTAGCTAAAAGGTAGGTCATGCAGGGGGGGGTGAGCATATATATATATATATATATATTTATATTTATTTATATATATATCACTAAATATGCGCGCGCACAGGTGAACACCTGTGTCCTTGTCCCGCCTCCTGGACAACTGCATCCGCGCCAGATTCCAGCAGCTGTGACCAACGCTCGCCTGCCTGCTTCAAAGCCTGCGGAGAGCAGCTCACAACAAGCAAGTGCCTGCAATAGTCACCCAAAAATGGCTCATTCCAGGGCTCCGGGAGCCCAAACATGGTGGTCCTGTGGCTTCCCTATAAAAAAGACACCCAAAAAGAGCACCCTCAAAAACAAAAAGTCACGCCCAAGCATGCGCTGGCCCAGTTTGGTCGCAGCCAGGTGCTCCGGCCTCTGCCTGGGGCGTCCGAAGGTCCACCAGCCTCACCTCTCCCTCCAGGGACTCCTTCAGCCTCGGGGCGTGCGAAGAGGCCCAAAAGGAGGGTTCCCAAGACGTGAGGTTCATGTATCTCTCTCTCTCTCTCTCTAGTGGGTTTGGTTTGTTTTCTTTGATCCATGGAAGTGGCCAATCACCGCGGCACCTGCAGCTCTGCGTTTGCGCCTGACGCTTAACAAGCTAAGTTGCTGCAGGGCCTCGTCATTCTGACCATCATAGAAGACCAGCAGCGCTGGCTCCTCCTGCACACCAGTCGGTCCCTCGCGCCAAAAACAAGTGCCATTGCCATCATGTCTAAAAAGCAGCCCTGGCTTATCAAACGATCAGTGGTGTGCAACTCCACCTGACGGTCGGATGCCAATAACGGTGGAACGCTGAGCATAGCGAGATGAAAGCAAACACTGGCAATGTCCAGTCTCTTGTCAACTGGGGCTCCTTCTCAGGCTGGGCCACCACCGGCTCTTCCTCCGGCTCCTTCTCCGGCTCAGCTTCAGCTTTGGCGGGGGTCGATGCCACCTCCCCGCCTGAATCAGCGCGAGCTGTGCGAAACAACGTGAAAACCGTCATGTGGCTGTGGGTCGTCAATTAATGGGTACCCAAAATGGAACCCTGGTAAATGGAACCAAGGACTAAAAACTGCGGTCCCCTGATGCTTCAATTTGACCCATACCCATGTGCCCTGACACCGGGTCCAGAAAAAAGTCGCCGCTGTCGTTGGCACGGGCCAAACCTATTCCCTCGCATGGCCGGATCGTTGATAGCCAGCGGCGTCCCTGACCCGTACCAGCGACACATATCATCTTGGGCCATGAGAACCCCGTGACTTCACGCCCTCTCCATGGCTATCTTTGCGCCTGCATAGGAGCCCAACTCCTTGGCTGTCAACTAGCACCACAATGCCACAAAACACGCGAAAACATGCTGAACACGGCGACCAAACACGAGCCAAAGCCATGCGACGCTTGCAACTTTGCAAAAGTCAGCATGGGCAACTAAAGTGAGGGCAACACGAAGCCTTCAAGCAAGGACCGGTCAAGAACTCACCGAAAACCACCATGGGCCTTCCGGACTTCCTGACCCTTGGGAGAGCAACCATTGCAGCGCGGGGGTGAAAGCCAAAGCGTCCGCGAGCGGGACATTGGGATTCTTCTGGTCGTAGAGCCACACGGTCGCTGCAAAGCCTGCAGCGCAAAAGGTACAAAGGCGTCGGCTGAACCTCAAAATGGCAACTTGTGGCTCTTCCTGGTAAAATGGACCTCCGGTCGCCCCCTCCATGGGCTTCCATGCCAAAGGAACCCCTAAGATTGTGAGCCTCAATCGGAGTCTCCTCCAGGCACTGTCCAGAAACATCGGGACAGCTTTGTCCGTTAAGTGGCTTGCCGTCCAAAATTAGGGACCGCGTGTGGCCTTGGAAGGCGACGCAAAATGAAACCAGGGTCCCAAAACGGTCCCTTGTCGACAACCTGCCAAGGGGGTCAAACCGCTGGAGGCCGCACTGCGCAGGTCAGCGCGATAAAGAAAATGCAACTAGAGCATGGGCACTTCTTGCTTGACGGCCACTAGCCCCACCCAAAGAGCCGCGGCCAAAGCCCAAGCCCCTCTGCTGCCATAGGTGCGGTCACGGCAGGCTGAGAGCACCTCGTGGGGACTGCGGTCGTCGGACCAGAAGAGCAGCAGGCGGTTCCAAATCGGCTCCACTTCCATCCGCACCTCCGACTGATGCACAAAGGCGCTAGGACAAGTGAGGAGACCTTGCATGATTGCCGTTGACTGGATCAAGTACATGTCTCTGTCTCGGCTTTTCCAGCCTTGAGGTTCTTCTCTCCTGGCCAGGGGCTGGCTTGCCAAGGGCAACTTTGATGAATCTAAAACCGCTGGTTTCCCCCCTTACAAAAAACGTGGGTAACAACATGAGCCCCAGTTGGGCGCGAGATCAGAAACACACAGGAAACTGGTTGTGAAAACCCCCTCCCCACCCCCAACCCCCATCCCAAACAACTTGCCCCACCCCGCAACACAAGCCTTTCTCAAACGACTCGTCAACAGAACCTGGCTCCTGGATAGAAGAGGCGCAGCTCGCCGCCGTCGCCCGGCTTCCAGTCCTCCTGACCCGACCACAGCGGGCAATTCGAGAGACGCGATACAAGCGCCTCTTTTGCTTGGTTGCTGTTGTTGACCCCTCCGCAGAAAGTGTATTTTTTGTGGGTTTAGTGGAAAACCCAAAATTAGGCCTGGAAAACAAACTTCTGGGCGAAGGACTGCCAATAGCCAATAGCCTTCTGCTCACTTCTAAACAAAGCTTGGAGGAAGATGTGGTGCACGGAGGGAATTGGGAACTGGGAAATCCAAAGAGGATGCACTGCCATTGATTCTTTCAGCATTCAGCACATCCATTTCTGCGGGCTCAGCCCGTCATTGAGGTAGATCAGGGCCGTCAGTAGTCTGCCGTTGCCCGAGGAGTTGTCGGTGTGGCGGAAGTATCCTGACGTCTTGGTCGGTGCCTCTGAGTCGGCCGAAGTAATAAAATGCCACGCGTCCAGAGCTAGATAATTAACAAACACCATCTCACCCACCCTGTGGACCTATGTCAGCCTTTGCATCGATTTGCACTTCGTTCAACTAGTAGAATCAGTGCTTTGGCTGGGCCAAGCAAGAGGCAACCCATGGAATCGAGCATCCCCAACAAGCACCGTCTGCAAGGCAAGCAACTCGCCCGGCTCTCACCCGGATAGCAGGTGAGCATCGTCTCCGATCGCCAGCGCACACCTGGGCCGCCAGACCGCCCGCCAGTTGACAGGCCTTCAAAGAGGCCAAAACAAGTTTCGCGTTCAAGCGGCGCAAATGGTCTTGGTCAGCACGGAGTGCAAAAATTGTGAGCGCGCAGCAGCCCAATCCCTAAAAGTTCAACATGCGCAATACCATCAAAAATGGCACACAAAATGTTGCTCAACGTTAGCTCTACAATTCTGACCAGCGAGAAAACGGTCATCTGTTGTCACACAAACACGGGCACGGCATGGAAATCGCCAATAATGTTTGGCCCCGTGGTGCAAAACCAGCACCCGCGTGGCACTACCTTGCAGCTCGGGGGGGAGGGGGGGTTAACTAGCTTGTTCTTGTTCTGCCATGGGCAGTGTCACGCCCGTAGGCCCGCAAGCGCACGGGTGCTTAAAAGAAAACGAGAGCTACTCCTCAAGACATGTCCGGCTACCTTGAGACTTGGATGCAGGTTCCACTGGTGGAGCAACAAGAGATGCTCCAGAAAGAACTCAGTTTATGCAGAAGATAATTGGTCTCTTGCAGTTTGTCGTTCACCTCGGGTGACATTCATGGATTGGGTCATGCTGTGCCCGAAGTACATCGCCTCCGTTTTCCTTTGCGACCGAATTCCATCCTAAAGCCTCACATTGTTGTGACCATTCATGGCAAGAGAGCAACACTTCCCATGCTTTAGGGGGAGGACACTGTTTCTATTTCCTGTAGAACCCGGTTAGCAGCGTAAGTACTTTGTTTTGAGTGCCCAAAAGCGTGTCATCTGCGTAGTAAAATCGGTCAAAGAAAATTGTGCGCATGCGAGCATTGGTAGTTCGCCCGTCCAAATTCAGGGTGACAGTGACATCCGACAACACTCATAACCAGTACCAGAAGCGAGGGGACAAGAGCCACCCTTGGCGAATTCCCAAGAATTGCTGTTTCGACTCTGGTTCCCCCCCATGCTCATCTTCAACATAAAACGCTGGCTTAGAATACCAATCCCTCAAACGGCAGTGAAATGCGGGTTTGACCTGCTCATCAAATGGTGGGCAACTTTATCACAAGGTCTTCCCCAATCTGACAATGTAGTATCAAGATTGGACCCCCTTTGTTCAGCTCTGTCCTGGTGAGGCCTCTTGTCAAAAAAGAACATCTTCATATTTGCTGATGGTCTTTCCACAAAACTGACCTCAATACCTCAAGATTCGGCTGCGTTCGCTTGGCTGGGGCCCCGCGCCCTTGATCGCCGCTGCCGTCTTGGGCGCCGCCTTCTCGCCGTGGTGCGCCAAGCGGGTCATGGCGTCTTCGACCTGTGCCTCGGTCGCGCAGCTCAACAAATCTAGCCAGGTGGGCACCTGAGTTTGTCAAGCGGATGTGTGTGTGTGTGTGCGCCTGCTAGCACGAACACATGCCAAAGAGAAATAACAAATCGAATTGCACAAGCATAGACCCCACATAGCAACGCAGCATCGCAACAGCTCCAGCAGCTCCAGCAGCATCATGATGTTGACCGCACCCAGGAAGACACCAGTCACTACGCGCTGAATAGACGCCCAAACACAGCCCTTCTGTGTTAAGCAGCGTCATGACCATGTTGACAGCATCCTGCTGAAGCACCAGCAACGAACCATTAAGCGCTCAGCCAGACCCGTTTTCCCCCAATACTAAATTAAGCAGGGGCTAATTCAAAAGTTAAATGCAAGAATACCTCGGCGCCCCTGGCCGATTCCCCCGGACCCACAATCATAAACCACGCCCAAAATTTCAGGATCCGAAGCAGGGGATCAAACAAATCAGGCAAAAAATAAACAGGTGGCAAATCCTTTTGGAGCAAACCAACCAGTTGCAGCTTCCAGCTGAAAGTGCCTAGGGGAGCAACAGTGCCCTGACTCATGCCACACAGAGCCATGCTGAAATGACATAAGCTTAAGCTTCAGATCGCAGATTTCAAAAAAAAACAATATATGCCCGGAAAATTACTTTTTGCATGTAGCCCCTTTCAAAACGTGATGCCCCAACACTTCATCATGAGGTACCCCGCACAAACCATCAAAGCACATTAGTAAAGAGTTCACATTAAAAAAAAAAAAACAAAAAAAAAAACACAGAACAGCCCAGGGAAATCCAAAATGCTCAGCTAGTGCGAACCATTTGCTACAAAGCCTACAAGAAGTAGTACTAGAAGTACTACAAGTGCTACAAGCAGCACTACAAGTACTACAAGTACTACAAGTGCTACAAGCAGTACTACAAGCACAACACTTACTACAGTATCACAAGTACTGCAACTACTACTGCAAGTACTACAAGTACTACAAGTACTACAAGTACTACAAGTACTACAAGTACCAGGAGGTACTACAAGCACTACTACAAGGACTACTACACATATTACAAGTACTACAAGTCCTACTACAAGTTACTACAAGTACTACAAGTACTACTACAAGTACTACAAGTACTACTACAAGTACTACAAGTACTACAAGCAAGTACTACAAGCAAGTACTACAAGCAGTACTGCAAGGAATTGTTTTTTGTTTCAATTTCGGAACTTTGCCCAAAAACACAGTTGGGGGGGAACCCCCTTTACTAATATGAAGTCGACATTACATGCTAGCCCTCAAAGACTGAGCGACAAGTGGCATGCTACATGAACAAACTCATGAGAGAGAGAACAAGCACAAAAGCACGCAATTAGTTGCAACAATTGGGACTTTTCTGTTGTTGGAGGGTGGCCAGGCCCAACGAGACGCTAGCCACTCCGATGGTCGAATCGCGCGCTCCTCATTCAAGTGCCGCATGCAGGAAGCTGTCCAACAGGTGTTCCAAGAACATTTTGTCAGATTCCACGCACTGTCTACGTAAGCTTTTGAAGAGAAAAGGTACATAGTGTTTACTTGAGCCCAACTGTGTGCAGTGCCGGAGCTGCGCGCATTCGAACTCGTATTGAGGCCCCTTAAAAAAAAGGAAGAAAAAAAGAAAAGGAAAAAAACAGCGCACCGCAGTCGAAGGCCAAGCCGCAGTAAAGGCGCTAACAGATCGGCTCGCTTCAGTCTCGCCATCGTAGCCAATCCACTTGAGCACATCGCCGCCTGAGCGTCTTGCAGGCAAGCAGCACCTGCTGTTTTTTGAAGGTGGGTCTTGGGGTCGCTATGGGAAACCTGTTTGAAGACTCTTCTTGGGCCACTTCGCGGTGAGACAGAATCCAACAACCGCTTGCCCCCCGCAAAGTGAAACTTCTCATTCACGAAGGCATCGCTTCCGCAGGAATCAGCAGTAACCAGAGCACAGCACCGCCAATGGAAAGCCTCATGGATAAGTGAAACTTGCGGCCGCTTTCCCCTGGCCACTCTGAGCATCCGGCGGTGGAAGATGCCAACGCGCTCGTTGCCTGCACGTGTTTCTCGCATGCTTGGCAGCCGCCAGAAGGTTGATCCCAATGCAAGGCTGAAAGCCCTCGCGACCCGGACAAGATCTTACAAGCAACACACCATCCGCTGGCACGCCCCGATTCAAGACATCTCTGAGAGCCCGCGCCCCCTGTAGTGGCTCCCTTCTGCATGTCGGACTGCTCGTAGAGTCTGAGGTTGCTAGCCTTCCAGGGCATGCTGCTAGCAGACATCAAATGATGGGAGAAGTGGCAAAGCCAAGCTTGAAGCCAGACGCCAGAGCTACAATCGGCCCTGCCCGGCTTTTTGTCAGCATCTTCCACTGCAGGGGGTGTTCTGGTCGGCTTGGAAGTGCGACGGCAACAGCTCGATTGGCTATCATGCTAAGGGTGTGGCAAGGGTCTACACGAGTCGCAAGCCGCAAGGTCCGAAAGGTCCGAAAGCCAACCCTCACCGCTCTTCAACCTGCCGTTCAGTTTTGCCCCAACGAGGCCCCGCAAGCCTTGAGAGCACGAACCAAGGGATCCGGCAGGAAGTCGTCCACCACCACAAAGCCGACCTTGAGCGGGCCAAACCTTCAAAGTACCCGCAAGAGGCGTGGAAGGAGCAAGAGAACAAAAATCAAAATGGCTCTGGAGGAAGAGGGACAAGAAAATGGGCATCTGTAATCTCGTCTGGCGCTCCATTGCTTCAGGGAGCCCACTTAGAAGCCCGGTGCAGTTTTCCCCGGACCCAAATTTTCGCAACCCCGTCGGCCTCATCCAGCTGCTTCGCCAACAGTTCCAGCGCCTGCGGCTGTTCAGCTTCTCTGAAGATCCGGAAGGGATTCTGGTTGCCCAGTTGAAAATGCAAGAGGAACCAAAGGCGAGCGATTCCCTTTCACCGAACTCACTTTGAGCCAGCATGACCAGGCCTCGCCGCTACTAGGGGCACGAAGCGCTGGCTCAATCCCCGAACTTGATGCACGCTGACACGCGGGACAGCTGGTCAAGGCCTTGATTCAGTAGGGTTGCTTCCGCATTGAGTCCGGCCTGGGGCTTCTTCCACCACGATCCGCGCATGGACCTGGCCACGTGCAAACCGGGCCGAGCTACCCAGCCGAAGGTTCCCTTGCAAGTGGCTGCAAGGTTCTGCAGGGGGTGCCGCACACAAATGAATATTCTCCCAAAATCAGTGGTTGCAAAATTGGCTAGACCGCTTGCAGTTCAGGCCGCAAACACCTGCCGTGTATCTGGCTACTAGGACAAAATTGCTCATTCCGAGTAAGTAGAACCCAAACAAACGATCTGCAAAAGAAAAGTGATGCCTGGACCTGCTTTCTCCAGCAGATGCGCCACAACCCATACGACCTCTTTGGAGGGCCCACAGTTGGAACAACCTAAAAGAGCTCAACGGGCAATGCATGGCGCATGAAACCAAGGCCGGGTCACAAGGCTTGGAAAGTGCGCCGGGTCGACCTGAGCGGTTTCAGGTACTTGTCCTCCAACTGCTGGTGCTCCTTGATGCTTGGATATTCCAAGCCTCAGCTGCAATCCAATGGCCTCACTTGGTGCGAAATATTGGACTGCGTGACTTCATGCATGCATGCATGCATGTATTTGCACGTGTGATTATGAATTTATGCCTGCATGCCTGCATGCATGCATGCATGCATGCATGCATGCATGCATGCGCAGGAATGACTACGCATGTGTGATTCTGCATGCATGTCTGCCTGCCTTCCTGCATGCATGCAGGGTTCTATGTGTATACATATATATATATATACATATGTATGTACCCAGCATATATACACATATACATATATAAATGCATATTTACACATATACATATATATATATATGCCCAGCATACATACACATATTTGCCCAGCAGATATACAGATATACAGATATACACATATATAAATAGACATATACATATTTTCATATATATACAGATATAAATTGCACAGCATATATACATATATACATATATACAAATATACATATATACATACATATACACATATATACATACATACATATATACAAATATATATATATATATATGTGTGTGTGTGTGGTGTGTGTTGAGTTCAAAGCTGCTTTACGGAGGCCATGCCAACGACTTGAACGCGCCACAACCGAACCTCGTGAGAGTCATGCTCAGCGTTGCTGCGTGAAAAGAAGCAGCCTGTGGCTGACAAAACTGCGCCCAGAGAAAAACAACTCTATAACAATAACAAACGTAGTTGTCTGGCATGATTGTTATGCTTGCCATTTTGGCCACCACATTGTGACACATATTGCTCGGGCTTGCGGTTGCAACATGCAACTTAGAATGACCTGGAAAACCTCCATGATCTCCACAGTAGCTGAAGCACGTGCTGCTGACATCCTTAGAAAGGCAAGGTGACTGCAGTACAAACCCTAAGTTCGCGAACGCACACTGAAAAGATGGCCGCAAGCAAAAGCAAGCCCCAGAAACCCAAAGTTGCAGTTCGAATCTGCAGTCCCACCCGGTCCCGGCCTCCAAAACGGCGAGTGGTCAGGCCCCCGGGCAGGTGCGATACCGCAGCTCGCGAAGCAGGGGCCAGGGGTTCTCCTCCAGGTCCTGTCGGAAGGGCCGAATGCAGATGGGCTGTGGGTCAAACATATAACCCAAAAATGGAACCCCTGGTAAATGGAAAAGTGGACTAAAACCCTGCTTTTTCTCCTGGTGGTTCAATTTTGACCCATACCTAGATGGGAAATGGGTTGGAGACTATTTTAAACAGTAGAACTTGGGAAGCCAATGCCCAAACTAGTTTTCTCTTTGAATGCGTTCAGGAAATGTCTGTGCTCCCTGAGAAGGGATCGAAACTCAGCATGCCTCAAAGTCCGGACAAAATCTGTCACTGAGCCTGCTGCCACCTAGCACTCACCATGTCTCTCCTTTTGGAGGCGGGTGCATAGGCAAGCAACCCTTCCAATGACATGCAACCAACGCCAATCTACCTGGACGTGGGTAATATACACTATTGGGGTCTGCTTAGGCTCTACATCCCTGATTGCAGACTCAGACTGCCAGTTGGTGTCTATAAGTCTTGTTATTTGCGGGCGACCCCTTGCACCCTCGGCTGCAATGACCGAAAGGGGAAGCCAACTTATCCCATCTGAATCTCAATATCCACGGGCGCTGCCAAATCCTCTCCCCCCACGCGACGTCCCTTTCTGGAAGGATGACTGGCGGCTTTGCGGGGGCTAGCCCCCATAAAGTCGCGAAGTCTTCACGATCCGGGCTCGATCAATTGAACGCGCTCGAAGAAGCGCTAGCTGCAAGAGGGCATTTGAATGAAAAACGCACCGCTTTGTGAACTCAACCGAGCCTGTGGATCTCAGAGTCTGTACACTGTACACACGCTTGGGCGCCAATGCTGCACCCTTTGGGTACACCAAGGCGAAGCACGGCCGCCTCCAGCCAGCGAACAAAACGTCGAAGATCTCTAGCGACTCTAGCGGCTCTGGTGTTGAAGGTGGCCATGGACCACACGGCAAACCAAAGTGATCTGCAACTGGACCTGAGGCTCAGGCATCGCCGGAAGGAATCTGCAGCGACAACCAACTTCGCTTACGATTGCAGCCAGGCTGCACGTCATGGAAGCAAGCGCGGCGCAACCCCTGCAAGACAGCTGCCCATGCAAAGTGAAGGACATGAGCTCAAAGGCGGCGCTTTCGAGCAGCACGTCGCTCCGTGTGAGGGCAGTGCTTCCTGGGCTCGGCTGGCCGCGTTGGCCCAACGTCGTTTCCAACTTTCTGGCAGCCCTGGAAGATAAACTCACCAACAATACCGTCAATGCCACACAGCCGAGGATCTTTGGGAGCCTCGTCTTCGGCCCGTCCAGCTTACCTCTCCTCAGCAAGGCTTGGTCTACGCGCGGAAACTCAAATCAAGGACAAGGCTTTCTGCCAGACCTCACCGAACAAATATTGCACTTGCACAGGTCCAGCCCAGCCCGGAAAAAGAAAAGCACCCTTTTTCAGTTGTGACCAATCACGCAAGGACGAAACCATACGAAGCCGTATCTGCCGGCCTCTTGTCTGGCACCGGCATCGGTGCTGCCCGGCTGACCACTGCAGGTGCCGCCTGAGAGCTCCCGTGCCCCGCGGGGGGCGGCGCGCGCGGCTGAGGAGTGGCATGAGACACCTCGAAGAGCGGCAGCAGCCGGCTCTCATCAAAGACTACGATGGCGTCCCCGACGTGCCCTGGGAAAAGGGCGACTTCGGCACAGTGGCTTGCTCTTTCTTTCTTTTTTTTTTGGGGGGGGGGCTAGCTCCCCACACATGAGTGGCTGCAAAGCCGGAACCAGCCTGCCCGAAGGGCGCAAGAATGTGGGCAGTGCCCTCTTAGCACGGCTTGGCTCTGTCAACAAGATTCACCTCGAGCCTTCCAGCTGTGAAGGCTATTGGACCGCCTCCAAGCAAAGTGCTATGCCAAAGGAAGTTGCCAACTGCGGCCAGAGATCGCACATGGTCAGACTGCGCCGTGATGAAGTGATTGCCACACCGAACGTGCTCTGGCAGTGCAACAGCATCATCGATAACCCCGCACACCAGCAGAGCCCGCGAAGAGCCAAGAGCAAAGCCGTAAGCCAAGCGGGCGTTGACAGTCTTGGCGGTGTAAATGCCCTTGCCATGGGAAGCACCGTGCAAGACTTTCACATTGTTGTCGCCGCTGGGGACTAACAGTCCTGCGCATGCTTTTCAGCCGAAATCCAACCTTTGCCTCTAGCATCCCCCTCCCCCCATCCACCCAACGCTCAGGTTCCTTTCTCGTAGATAGAGCTTAGATTCCTCTCATCCGTGCCGTGCAGCACCACCTGCATCACCCGCAGCTTCTCCTTGTGCTTCTCCACCTCTATGTTTCAAGGAGAAAAAAGAACTAGAAACAATTGCAAAGGCAATCTCCCCGCAGTCACTACGTCTTCCGAAGATAACCCGTCCGCCTGAAGGCACCAAGGGAAAAAGAAAACCAAGAAAATTGCAGCAAAGGCCATTTCCCTGCAGTCACCAAGTCCGAAGATAAACCCCACAGGCAGACCTTCCAGCCCACCATCCCTAAGCTCCCCACCTGCTCCTTGAACCGCTGCCGCAGTGGCTGCGCCACCGGCGCCGGCCGCAACACGGCGTCCCCGTAGATCGGCGCCAAGGCCCCGCACACCTCGCCCCCGAAGCGCGACAGGAAGTCGAAGCGGAGGCGCTCGAAGGGGTCGCTCCGCGAAAGCTCCGAGCAGCACAGCCTCACGAACAAAAATACGATCAGAATAGACATGTAAGCATTACACGCATATACATATGTTTACATATGTATATATATATATATATATATATGTGAATGTGTATGTATAGGTATATAGATATGTGTGTGTGTGTGTGCACATGTGCATTTACATTCATACATCACATATCTGTATCTGTTCTATTTAAATCTGTCCTCAAGCGGCATGCGCATCTTGTATGTGCACATGTAAGTTCAAAGCACGCGGTGGAAATGCATTCTGTGCCAAACACCCTCGCAGCCCGTGCGATCACTGGGCTTGAAAGTCATCGCCAGCCTCATCCGATACTTTTCCTGCAGACTCTTGGTCAAGCACTCGACCTGGGGGGGCTGCAGGTCGGACACAGCTGGGCTCACTGGATGGGGGAAGGACAGTTTGAGCTTCTGGCGTGTCATGCCAAGCTCAAGACTTCTTATGCGCGCTCACAGAGAAATCCTAGCCCAACGGTTCCAGACCGCAGCCCAACGGCCTCGGCATCTTCTGGTCCTTTGCATTTGGTCAGTGGCCGCTGCTTGGCCATCTGGTACCTCAGCGAGCGCTGCTCCGGTGAGGATATCAGGATGGTCTTTGGGGCATGCGCTGCGGCTATGAGGGAGCAAACAAAGAAGCCTAAAAAGAAAAAGAAAAAGAAACGTAGAAACACGGAAGCTTTCCACGCGGACTTGCCGACCCATTCGAGTGTTCGAACCACTTCCGGGCGGGAGGCTGCCCCGCAGCCTTGGCGGCCTGCTGTGCGGCATCCCACCGGCTTGGGGCCCGTGTCTTCCCAGGCCGCAAAGGCTCATCCTGCGCAGAGGCCGCAGTGGACTGCGTCCTTGGCGGCCGCAAACTTAACGTTGTTGTGC